GCTAGGTTGGCAAGGAGGACTCAAAATATGAAGAGCCTTATATACCATGCTAAGGACCGCAGATTTTCTCCAGTAGCTAAAGGGGAGGTTCTGAAAACTTTTGAGATGGGATTAATATGATAGATTTTCACTCCGGGCATTTCATTCACACTTTAGATATGCCATCGGAAGTGAGAAATTCAGCTTAAAATAGTCTTGGATAAGAGCCTGAAGTAAAAGTATTTGGGGGAAAATAAAAGGATGCATAAGGCTATCATAATTCTATGAAAAAAATTTTAAATAATACAACTTTTAGCTTGCTTCTACACTTTAAAAAGCAGACTTCTAATATATATCTGGTTTTTCAAGTAGACATTCCTATAAGAAAAAGAACATACTGATCAGGTGACTCAAGTAATACAATTAGAATTGCAGTTTATTTTTTATTTTTACCTTTCAGTTCCTCGTTCCTGGATAAAGTGATACCATTAATTTCAGAACATGCAGAGTTCATAACAAGAGCCATTGGTAACATTTCTAGAGTACAGAGTTCCTGCAAAGTCTTAAATAGCTTTGCAATTTTTTGGGCTGTTATTAATAATAAACTTCTTATGCCACTGTATAAAAATTTAATAGAATTTATTAGGAATTTCAGAAAACAAAGCTTTACAACTATAGCTAATACATAATTTGAATAACAAAATATTTTTTGTTTTTAAATAGAATAAACTTATATCTAGTAGCATGCTTATTGAAAACCATCAAAACCATTTCCATTCATTAAAATATATTTATCAATAAAATACATAATAAAGTATAATTTATAGCATAAACGTAAACTAGTCATTTTATCTCTATTATCTATGTTATAATTTACCTTTGTTTTACAGTTATAGTGTTTTAAATTGTTAACAAATACAGAAATATGATTTATAGGAGATTTGAAAAATAATGATTCTATTTAATAGTTACTGTTATACTTCATCAATATTTTCTTAGGAATGTGGATCCAACATCAGGATATAGACTGGTCCTTGGCTGGGTGTTCTGTAACATAAGTTGCAAAATATTCTTTTACTATAGTATTCACAGACTTGAACAGATAGATCTCCTTATGGGTTATAGATTTTTAATAAGACTAAACTCATAATTCAAATTCTCAAATGTTACATATACATCAATCTCAACAAAACTGAGTACCACTCTATGTATGGCATCATACTAATAATTCATGACCTTCACTTCTTGCTATTGGTGAAATATGCTCAAGAAGTTCTTTCTATTATAATCTACTGTGTAAATGGTCAAAATTTAATAGTATTATTTTCTACAGTAAGCACTTGGAACCCATATATAGGGTATAAAGTACCCTATGGGTACTTTAACAACATATTTTGGGCTAAAGAAGTAAGTTGCTTGGCAGGGTAATTATAAAAAAGTCATTAAATTTATTTTGCTTTAAAAAGAAATAAAATACTCTAAAATGAAAATTCTGCTTCTAAGAGTCAGAGTGTTTACACTGAAAAGCGTAATCTAAGCAATGGCAAGTTTCTTGAGGATGTACTGCAGCTACCCTATGATGTTGTAATGTTTGCATGTTGTCTCTATTAGAATGCAAATTACTTCTCCTTGTTTTAGTTGCAATCCTAACAGAGTGCCTGATACATGGGAAGAACTCAAGCAATGCCTATTCAATGAATAAAGAGAGCAATATGATAACTTCTTCAGAAAGAAAAAGTTAGACTATATGGTTGCCAAAAGGGGGAAATTCTAAATTTGGGGCAGCACAAAGCTTGTTTTTCAGAAGGATGACACTGGAGACAAGTTCTGAAGAATAAACGTGAGACAGGCAGATAAGGGAGGAAGTCCTGTGGGACAGTGGGAGCGGCATGGGCCCTTGGAAGCATGCAGCCCTGCCAGCTACTCAAGTGTGTAAGTTATGAGCTGGGGAACAACTGAAGGTGAGTCTGGAAATGCAGCTGTTTCAAGTTTTAAGTTTATCTGTTAGGTGATAGGTAAATACTAAAGTTGGGTTTTTAAGCAGGAATGTGATATGTTTATATTTGGGTTTTAAAGAGATCATTCTGGCAATGGTGGTGTGAAAGATGCCCTGGAAAGAGCAAACCTAGATGCTTAGAAATGGTCCAGATGAGACATGAAACTTTTTTTAAAAAAAAATTTCAATAGATTTAGGAGGTAGAAGTGGTTTTTGGATACATGGATGAATTATACAGTAGCAAAGTCAGGGCTTTTAGTGTACCCATTACCTGAATGGTATACATTGTACATGATAGGTAATTTTTGGCCCCTTGCCTCCCTCCTACCATACCCTTCTGAATCTCCAAAGTCTATTAAACCACTGTGTATGACCATGTGTATGTCTGGTTAAGCTCCCACTTGTAAGTAAGTACATGCAGTGTTTGTTTTTCCATTCCTGAGATACTTCACTTAGAATAATGGCTTTCAGTTTTATCCAAGTTGCTGCAAAAGACAGTTTTTCATTCTTTTTTATGGCTGAGTAGTATTCCATGGTATATACTACATTTGCTTTAACCACTCATCAGTTGATGAGCACTTAGGTTGATTCCATATCTTTGCAATTATGAATTGTGCTGTGATAAACATATGACTGCATGTGCCTTTTTGATATAATGACTTCTTTTCCTTGGGTAGATACCCAGTGGTGGGATTACTGGATTGAATAGTAGGTCTACAAAAGAATCTCCATACTGTTTTCCATATAGGTTGAAGTAATTTACATTCTCACCAACAGTGAATAAGCATTCCCTTTTCAGTGCTTCTGTGCCAACGTCTGTTGTTTTTTGACTTTTTAATAATGGCCATTCTGACAGGGGTAAGGTGGTATCTCATTGTGGTTTTAATTTGCACGTCCCTGATGATTAGTGATGTAGAACATTTTTTCACGTTTGTTGGCCATATGTTATATCTCTTCTTTTGGAAAAATGAATGTTCATGTCTTTTGCCTACTTTTTAATGGGGTTATTTTTTTTTCTTGCTAATTTGTTTGAGTACCTTGTAGATTCTGGATTTTTTTTTTTTTTTTGAGACAGAGTCTCGCTTTGTTGCCCAGGCTAGAGTGAGTGCTGTGGCGTCAGCCTAGCTCACAGCAACCTCAAACTCCTGGCTCAAGCGATCCTCCTGCCTCAGCCTCCGAGTAGCTGGGACTACAGGCACGAGCCACCATGCCTGACTGATTTTTATATTATATATATTAGTTGGCCAATTAATTTCTTTCTATTTTTAGTAGAGACGGGATCTTGCTCTTGCTCAGGTTGGTTTCAAACTTCTGACCTTGAGTGATCCTCCTGCCTCGGCCTCCCAGAGTGCTAGGATTACAGGCATGAGCCACCGCGCCCGGCCGTAACTTTGTTTTTGTTACAGGGTCTCACTCTGTTGCTCAGGCTGGAGTGCAGTGAGTGGCCTCATGATAGCTCACTGCAGCCTTGAACTCCTAGGCTCAAGCGATCCTCCTACCTCAGCCTCCCAAGTAACTGGGACTACAGGTGTGTGCCACCACACCCAGCTAATTTTATGCTCATGAAGTGTTCTTAGAGTATAGCAAAGTTTTTGGTACATAGACAGTACTTAATATTTAATAAGTGAAAGAAGAATGGCAAGAACATTTATATGTTGCAAATGAGAAGCAAAGTAACATTTATTCCTGAGATATGAATTTCATAAATCTCTTTCGGTATACTTGACTATAACTAATAGTTAATTAAACATTTATATAGTACTACTCTTTTATTTATAGATTGGTGACCAAGTGAAGTCCAGAAAAAGAATATCGAAAGAAGAATTTCTCAGTGTATTTCCAGTACCATCAATGGGAGAGGTATGTGGACTGACAGCTTCACTGGCATTCCTTGACAATGCAGGATAGATTGTGATCCCCTTCCCCATGAACTTGGACTTGGACGAAGGGTAGGTGATCAAGCAGGGTAGGTGATCTTCTTGTTCCTCATCACTTTTTCTAGACCTATGTTTCTCAACCTTGGCTGCCCATTAGAATTCTCTGGGGAAGCTTTAAAATCTAAAATCCCAAGCTGCACTCGCATATGATCATGGTATCAGTATTTTTTTAAAGCTCCCCATGTGATCTCAATGTACAGCGAAGTTTGTATTTCTAGAACTTTGTTTTTCAAAGTGTGGTCCATGGAGTGGTAGCATTGGTATTACTTGGGTCCCACCTGAGACCTAGTGGATTAGAATATATATTGACCAAGAGCTGTAGGTATTAGGAAGCATACTAAAGTTTGAGAAATGCTGTTCCAGATCATTGTTCCTTTTTTATTCCCGAAAAGCCCCAAACCCTTTGAAATATATGACATGAGAATATTCTATTATACTTTCTCACTGCTCTGTTTAGATTCATTAACCTTGATTCAAGAAGCTCCTCACAATTCATTGAAGATTTTAGCATATGGCTTATTTCTCTTTCCCTACTGTGCTTATTTTCATTTCTGGTGATTTTAACATCCACACGGACAATCCATCCAATACCTTGGCAATTCAGTTTCTTGGCATCAGTGATCTTCATACTGGCTTTTCTTCCTTCCCTGCTTCATATCCTTGTCACTCCAATAATATTAATAGTTTATAAGTCCTTTATTTCAGGCTGCTTTCTGGGAAATGTAGGCTGAGATGCTTGGTAGAAACTCAACCCTGGCCAAATCCAACCACTATTTAAGATGAACTGGCAAAGGCTAGTACAAAACACAACTAAGATATCTCAAGTGTCTCTCTTACAATTCATTCTCCAGCTCTGTGAGATCATTTCTCTCTCCTCGAATCTTCTACTTTTCTTCCCTCTCCTCATTCAGTTGATGACTTTGCTTCTTATTTAACAGAGAATAAAAGCTAGTAGAAGAGAACTGCCGCATATTTCTGCTGCCGTATCTCCAAATCTACCTGGCTTCTATACTCATATATGTATCTTCTCTGCACAGTTCTATGTAAGGCCAACTTCTCCCCTTGCACTAGAGTCTAATCTTCATTACCTGCACAAGGACTTTGCTCTTGTAGACATGGTTCTTGCTCCTGAATCATTCTTAACTGCATGCATTTGTGCTATGTGTAATAAAGGATATGACTCCATTTTTCTGATGTTTGACTGCTGACAGCTTTTAACGTCACCCCTCTCTCTTTTCCTCCATATCTGGCCTGCAAATAAGAAAGCCCAGGTGCTTTTTCATTGTCTCTAGTAGGAGATTCAAATCAGGAGATTCAAGCCCCAATTTGCACAAAGAATCTCACAACCTGCCTCCGCCTCCCAACCATAATAAAAACCCCGGGCTAGTTTCCTTTCTTTTTCCAGGTCTCGCAAGCCATTTCAGCCCTGCTTGGGAGGCCTGACCGGCTGTGCCCAGAAACTCCAATTATGTTACGTTAGTAATAAAATTTTCATACCTTCTTGTGTGTGGTATCATCAGTCTCCACATTGGAACCAAATTTTGGGTAGGGGTCCACCTGCTTCTGAAGAATGGTTACAACATTATAATATCTCTTACCTTAAAAAATATATTAGCCAGTATTTAAGTTAGATTGTTTCAACAGAAATTAAAAATAAAAGTGGCTTAAACAAGGTAGTTTATCTTTTGTTCACATAAAACTTCTAGCCGATGTGGTGATTCTGCTCTATAATGTCATCGGGGGCTCAGGTTTCAGCTGGCTTTCTTCTCCACCAGTCCCAGCTACGAGCTGTGACTACACGGTACAGTGATACACCATAAGTCTGCGCTCCAGCCAGCTCGGAGGAGGAGAAGGTAAAAAAGGAAAAGAAGGGCTTTCTCCTTCTCTTTAAGGGCACAATTCCAAACTCAGTCATATAGCTATTTTTAGCTGAAAGAGTGGCTGGGTAACATTGCTTTTATTTTGGTGGCTAGGTACCTCTAAAACAGATTTTGTTACTAAGGAAAAAGGAGGAGAATGAATATTATAGGACAACCAGCAGTCTCTGTTCTCCAGGTCTTCCCTTGTCTCTACATCCCTATGGTAGGTAGAATAATGCCCGCACATTTCCCCGCCACCAGGATGTCCATTTCCTAATCTCAGAACCTGTGGATATGTTCAGTTACATGGCAAAGGGGAATTAAGGTTGCCAATTGAATCAAGTTTTCTAATCAGCTGATCTTAAAACAAATGTCCAGGATTATCCAGGGGGAATTAATGTAATCATAAGGGTCCTCAAAAGTGGAAGAGAAGCAGAAGAGGATATCAAAGAAATGTGTTGTGAGGATTTCACCCACAATTGTGGTTTTAAAGGTAAAGGAAATTAGCCTTGAACCAAGAAATGTGGGTGGCCTCTAAAAGCTAGGAGAGGCAAGGAAACAGATCCTTCCCTCCCTAGAACTTTCAGAAAGGATCATAGACTCACCGACACCTTGATTTTAGTCCAGTGAGACCAGTGTCAGACTTCTAAAATCTAGAATTTTAAGACAATAAATTTGTGATTTTTAAAAGCAATTAAGTTTGTGGTTATTTTTATAAAGCAAAAGGAAATTTATATAGATGTTGTACTTGAAATAGGGTGCTCCTGTAATAAATACCTAAATGTGTGAATGCGGCTTTGGAATTAGGCAGTGGGCAGAGGCTGAAAGAATTTTGAGGAGCATGGTAGGAAAAATCTAGATTGTCTCCAACAAACTTTTAGTAGAAATATGGATGTTAATAACTCCGCTAGTGAGAACTCAGAAGTAGTGTAGAGCAAGGTAGAGAAACCATATATCATTTTGGAGACTACTTAAGTCATCACGAATAGACTGTTGTTAGAAATATGGATGTAAAAGGTGCTGCTGCCGAAGCTCAGAAGGAAATGAGAAACATGTTAATAACTGGAACTTATAAACAATGAAATTGGACATTTATTTAGCTGAGGATATTTCCAAGCAAAGTGTTGAAGGTACAGCCTGGTTCCTTCTTGCTGCTTACAGTAAAACACCAAGGAAAAGAGATGGATTGAGGGAACTGTAAAATAAAAGGAAATATGACTTGATGATTTATAAGAAATTCCCTGCCTAAAAACATTGCAAAAGATGCTAAAATTGAAATTCACTGTCAGGTTCTTGAGTTTCACAGGTTCACAGATAGAGAAGAACTGTGCCCCTGGATGGATTATATCCAGAACCTCACCCATTCTTGGTTTGTTTGTTTGTTTATTTATTTGAGACAGAGTCTTGCTCTGTCTCCCTGGCTAGAGTGTGGTGGTATCATCAGAGCTCACTGCACCCTCAAACTCCTGGGCTCAAGTGATCCTCCTGCCTCAGCCTCCTTAGTAGTTGGGACTACAGGTGTGCATCACCACACCTGGCTAATATTTTTCTATTTTTAGTAGAGACAGGGTTGTGGTCTTGCTCAGGCTGGTCTCAAACTCCTAAGCTCAAGTGATCCTCTAGCCTTGGCTTCCTAGAGTGCTAGGATTATGGGCATGAGGCACTGTGCCCAGCCCATACCCAGTTTAGATGATGAGATTTAGGACTTTTGATCTGTTGATATTTATTTTTTAATTATTTATTATTATTATTAATTTAGAGAAGGGTCTCGCTTTGTCAATCAGGGTAGAGTGCAGTGGCCCAATCACAGCTTACTGTAAACTCAAACTCCTGGGCTCAAGTCATGCTCCTGCCTCAGTCTCTCCAGTAGCTGGGACTACAGGTGTGTACCACCATACCTGGTTAAATTTTTAAAACATTTTTTGTAGGGATGGGGTTTCACTATGTTACCTACTTCTGGTTTCAAGTGATACTCTCACCTTGGTCTCCCCCAAAGTGCTGGGATTAAAGGCATGAGCCACCATATCTGGCGCTTGATCTGATGATATTTAGATGAAATTTTTGACTTAGAGTTGATGGTATAATGGCATAAGGCCTTCAGAGTCCTTGGGATGGAGTGAATGTATTTTGTATGTAGGATTGACATGTATTTTTGGGGACCAGAGGGTGGATAATGGTAGATAAAATATAGTGCCCCAAAATGTTCACCTCTTAATCCTCCTAACCCATGAATATATTATGTTAAATAATATATTAGTTTCTTATTTCTGCTATAACAACTTACTACAAATTTTTTGGCCTAAAGCAACTCAAATATATTATGTTATAATATATTTGGATAATATCCCCATCTCAATATCCTTAACTTAGCCATTTCCACAAAATTCCTTTTGCTTTGTAAAGTCACATATTCACAGATTCCAAGGAGGAAAATGTGGACATCTTGAGGGACCATTATTCTGTCTACTAATTGCATTTTGCCTAACTTTTAAGTATATTACCATAAAGTTACCAATAAATTCCTTTTATCTTATTATCTTTTTCTACTCTTTTTTTGAGCCTAGTACAATCAGATTTTTGCCCCAATATTCCACTGACTCCATTTTTGTCAAAGCCATCAATGACCTCAAGGTAGCTAAATCCAACAGATGTTTCTCAGTCTTCATCTAACTCAAACTTATTATTAGCTTTTGACCCAACTGATTTCTCCTACCTTCTTGAAACGATTTCATGCTTGACTTTTTAGAACTCTTCTTCAGCTACATTCTCTTTACAGGAGATCTCATTCAATCTCATGGCTCTAAATGCCATCTCTATACTGACAGTTTTCAAGTTATATGTGCAGCCAGGACTTCCCCACTGAATTCCAGACTTGTCAGAATCTAAGAATTGATTTCCAACACCCACCTGTTTCTCACCTTGTATACTCCATCTCAGTAAGTGGTTTCATCATTCACACAGCTACTCAGGCCAAAAAACTTTGAAATCATCCTTGGTTCCTCCTTTTTTAAAATACTTTATATTCAATCCATCATAAAATAAGGATTTCAAAATGTATTCTATATTTCCCCACTTCCTGTTATCACCACCATTACTAATCTGGTTCATGCCATAAACTCTCACACTATTGCAAAAGCTCTTTAATTGGTCTCCCTCCCTAAATACTGGCCACCTCCTTACCTTCTCTGATGTATTCTCTGGACACTAGACAGAGTCATTTTTTTAAAAGGATCAAGCATACTCTTGTATCAGGTCCTTTGCACTTATTCCCTCTATGTAGAATGCTAGTCTCTTACTACCACCAAAGTTAGCTCCCTTACTTCACTCAGATCTCTGCTCAAATGACTCCTTCTCAGACACCTTCTCTGACTACTCTACCTCTCTATCTAAAATAGTACTCTCATCACTCTCTATCCCTCTACCATGCTCTAGTTTTCATTAGTTCATCATAGAATATACATATATATTATCTACTAAAATATAAGCTTTATGATGGCAATTAATTTGTTTTTATTCCCAACACATAGAGTAGTACCAAACACACAACACAGGTTTGATACATTGAATGACTGAATATTTTCTCTTTTATTCATTATTTTGATATGCCACTGTGTGCCCTATTTTAATTCCTAAGGGCACAGAAATTAATGACTATCTCTACTTTCCAGGAGCTCTTGATCTAGAGGAAGAGGGCATATATGTCATACAAATAAATTCAGTTCAGGTACAAAGAACATAATTTGTATAGAAGAGGTAGTATATAGGTTATTTAAAAAAAAGGGGGGAAGTTCTACCTGAACAGGATTTAAAAGAATGAATAAAAGTATATCAGGCAGATGTAAATAAAGTGTGGGGTGGGGGAGCTCTTCCAAGGTAAGGATATGGTGCAGGCACAGGCAAACAGGTATGAAGTAGAACATTTTATTTGGAGAATTATAAGAAGTTTTGTGCATTGGAATAACTGGTATGGTGGGGAAGGTGATAAAGATGATGCTAGGTAGGCAAGGAGGACTCAAAGTATGAAGAGCCTTATATAACCATGCTAAGGACCGCAGATTTTCTCCAGTAGCTAAAGGGGAGGTTCTGAAAACTTTTGAGATGGGATTAATATGATAGATTTTCATCCGGGCATTTCATTCACACTTTAGATATGCCATCGGAAGTGATAAATTCAGCTTAAAATAGTCTTGGATAAGAGCCTGAAGTAAAAGTATTTGGGGAAAATAAAAAGATGCATAAGGCTATCATAATTCTATGAAAAAAATTTTAAATAATACAACTTTTAGCTTGCTTCTACACTTTAAAAAGCAGACTTCTAATATATACTGGTTTCTCAAGTAGACATTCCTATAAGAAAAAGAACATACTGATCAGGTGACTCAAGTAATGCAATTAGAATTGCAGTTTATTTTTTTTTTACCTTTCAGTTCCTCGTTCCTAGATAAAGTGATACCATTAATTTCAGAACATGCAGAGTTCATAACAAGACCCATTGGTAACATTTCTAGAGTACAGAGTTCCTGCAAAGTCTTAAATAGCTTTGCATTTTTGGGGCTGTTATTAATAATAAACTTCTTATGCCATGTATAAAAATTTAATAGATTTATTAGGAATTTCAGAAAACAAAGCTTTACAACTATAGCTAATACATAATTTGAATAACAAAATATTTTTTGTTTTTAAATAGAATAAACTTATATCTAGTAGCATGCTTATTGAAAAACATCAAAACCATTTCCATTCATTAAAATATATTTATCAATAAATACATAATAAAGTATAATTTATAGCATAAACATAAACTAGTCATTTTATCTCTATTATCTATGTTATAATTTACCTTTGTTTTACAGTTATAGTGTTTTAAATTGTTAACAAATACAGAAATATGATTTATAGGAGATTTGAAAAATAATGATTCTATTTAATAGTTACTGTTATACTTCATCAATATTTTCTTAGGAATGTGGATCCAACATCAGGATATAGACTGGTCCTTGGCTGGGTGTTCTGTAACATAAGTTGCAAAATATTCTTTTACTATAGTATTCACAGATAGATCTCCTTATGGGTTATAGATTTTTAATAAGACTAAACTCATAATTCAAATTCTCAAATGTTACATATACATCAATCTCAACAAAACTGAGTACCACTCTATGTATGGCATCATACCTAATAATTCATGACCTTCACTTCTTGCTATTGGTGAAATATGCTCAAGAAGTTCTTTCTATTATAATCTACTGTGTAAATGGTCAAAATTTAATAGTATTATTTTCTACAGTAAGCACTTGGAACCCATATAATACCCTATGGGTACTTTAACAACATATTTTGGGCTAAAGAAGTAAGTTGCTTGGCAGGGTAATTATAAAAAAGTCATTAAATTTATTTTGCTTTAAAAAGAAATAAAATACTCTAAAATGAAATTCTGCTTCTAAGAGTCAGAGTGTTTACACTGAAAAGCATAATCTAAGCAATGGCAAGTTTCTTGAGGATGTACTGCAGCTACCTATGATGTTGTAATGTTTGCATGTTGTCTCTATTAGAATGCAAATTACTTCTCCTTGTTTTAGTTGCAATCCTAACAGAGTGCCTGATACATGGGAAGAACTCAAGCAATGCCTATTCAATGAATAAAGAGAGCAATATGATAACTTCTTCAGAAAGAAAAAGTTAGACTATATGGTTGCCAAAAGGGGGAAATTCTAAATTTGGGCAGCACAAAGCTTGTTTTCAGAAGGATGACACTGGAGACAAGTTCTGAAGAATAAACGTGAGACAGGCAGATAAGGAGGAAGTCCTGTGGGACAGTGGGAGTGGCATGGACCCTTGGAAGCATGCAGCCCTGCCAGCTACTCAAGTGTGTAAGTTATGAGCTGGGGAAAACTGAAGGTGAGTCTGGAAATGCAGCTGTTTAAAGTTTTAAGTTTATCTGTTAGGTGATAGGTAAATACTAAAGTTGGGTTTTTAAGAAGGAATGTGATATGTTCATATTTGGGTTTTAAAGAGATCATTCTGGCAATGGTGGTGTGAAAGATGCCCTGGAAAGAGAACCTAGATGCTTAGAAATGGTCCAGATGAGACATGAAACTTTTTTAAAAAAAAAATTTCATAGATTTAGGAGGTAGAAGTGGTTTTTGGATACATGGATGAATTATACAGTAGCAAAGTCAGGGCTTTTAGTGTACCCATTACCTGAATGGTATACATTGTACATGATAGGTAATTTTTGGCCCTTGCCTCCCTCCTACCATACCCTTCTGAATCTCCAAAGTCTATTAAACCACTGTGTATGACCATGTGTATGTCTGGTTAAGCTCCCACTTGTAAGTAAGTACATGCAGTGTTTGTTTTCCATTCCTGAGATACTTCACTTAGAATAATGGCTTTCAGTTTTATCCAGTTGCTGCAAAGACAGTTTTTCATTCTTTTTTATGGCTGAGTAGTATTCCATGGTATATACTACATTTGCTTTAACCACTCATCAAGTTGATGAGCACTTAGGTTGATTCCATATCTTTGCAATTATGAATTGTGCTGTGATAAACATATGACTGCATGTGCCTTTTTGATATAATGACTTCTTTTCCTTGGGTAGATACCCAGTGGTGGGATTACTGGATTGAATAGTAGGTCTACAAAAGAATCTCCATACTGTTTTCCATACAGGTTGAAGTAATTTACATTCTCACCAACAGTGAATAAGCATTCCCTTTTCAGTGCTTCTGTGCCAACGTCTGTTGTTTTTTGACTTTTTAATAATGGCCATTCTGACAGGGGTAAGGTGGTACTCATTGTGGTTTTAATTTGCACGTCCCTGATGATTAGTGATGTAGAACATTTTTTCACGTTTGTTGGCCATATGTTATATCTCTTCTTTTGGAAAAATGAATGTTCATGTCTTTTGCCTACTTTTAATGGGGTTATTTTTTTTCTTGCTAATTTGTTGAGTACCTTGTAGATTCTGGATTTTTTTTTTTTTTTTTTTTTTTTTTTTGAGACAGAGTCTCGCTTTGTTGCCAGGCTAGAGTGAGTGCTGTGGCGTCAGCCTAGCTCACAGCAACCTCAAACTCCTGGGCTCAAGCGATCCTCCTGCCTCAGCCTCCCGAGTAGCTGGGACTACAGGCACGAGCCACCATGCCTGACTGATTTTTATATTATATATTTAGTTGGCCAATTAATTTCTTTCTATTTTTATGGTAGAGACGGGTCTCGCTCAGGCTGGTTTTGAACTCCTGACCTTGAGCAATCCGCCCGCCTCGCCTCCAGAGTGCTAGGATTACAGGCGTGCCACCGCGCCCGGCCTGATTCTGGATATTAATTCTTCATCAGATATATTTTCTCCTATTCTGTAGGTTCTCCATTTGCTCTGTTATTACTTTTGCTGTGAAGAAACTTTTTAGTTTAATTAAGTCCAATTTAGTTATGTTTTGTTTTGTTATCTTTGTTTTTGGGGTCTTAGTCATAAATTCTTTGTCCAGGCTAATGTCCAGAAGAGTTTTTTTTAATTTCAAAATATTATGGGGGTACAAATGTTTAGGTTACCTATATTGCCTTTGCCCTGCCAGAAGAGTTTTTCATAAATTTTCTTCTAGAATTTGTATGGTGTCAGGTCTTACATTTAAGTCTTTAATCTATCTTGAATTAATTTTTGTGAATGATGAGAGAGAGGGATCTAGTTTCATTCTTCTGCATGTAGCTCTCAATTTTCCAAGCACCACTTCTTGAACAGGTTGTTATTTTTTCAGTGTATGTTTTTATCTGCTTTGTCAAAGATCAGTTGGTTGTAGCTATATAGTTTTATTCTGAGTTCTTCATTCTGTTCCATTGATCTATGTGTCTACTTTTATAACAGTAGCATACTGTTTGAATTCTATAGTTAGTAGTATAATTTGAAGTTGGATAATGTGATGCTCCAGATTCTTTTTTTTTTTTTTTTTGCTTAGGATTGCTTTGGCTATTCAGGGTGTTTTGGTTCCAAATGAAGTTTAGGTTATTTTTTTCTAGGTCTCTGTGAAATAAGACATGGGTATTTTGATGGGAATTGCAGTATGGACATTTTAACAATATTGATTCTGCCAATCCATGAGCAAGGGATGTTTTTCCATTTGATTGTGTCATTTGTGATTTATTTAATCAGTGTTTATAGTTCTGCTTGTAGAGATCTTTCACTTCTTGGTTAAGTATATTCGTAGGTATTTTATTTTCTTTGTAGCTGCTGTGAATGGTATTGATTCCTTTATTTGATGTTCAGCTTGACTGTTTTTAGTATATATAAATGCTACTGGTTTGTGTACATTGATTTTGTGATCTGAGACTTTGCTCAATTGATCAATTCTAGGAGTCTTTTAGTGGATCTTTAGGGTTTCCCATATGTAAGATCATATCATTGGCAAACAGGGATATTAGACATCCTCTTTACCAATTTGGATGCCCTTTATATTTCTTTCTCTTGCATGATTGCTCTGGTTAGGACTTCTAGTACTATGTTGAACAGAAGTGGTAAAAGTGGGCATCCTTGTCTTGTTCCAGTTCTTAGGGGGCAGGCTTTCAACTTTATGCCATTCAGGATGATATTAGCTGTGGGTTTGTCATGTATGCCTTTTATTATTTTGAGGTATATTCCTTTTATGTCTAATTTGTTAAGGGTTTTTATCATGAACATTGCTGGATTTTATCAAATACTTTTTCTGCATCTATTGGGATGGTATATGGTTTTGTTTTTCAATTCTGTTTATGTGGTGAATCATATTTATTGATGTCCATATGCTGAACCATCCTTGCATCCCTGGGATGAAACCCACTTGATCATGGTGAATTATACACATACACACACACACACACACACACACATATATATATATTATATATATTTTTTTTTTTTTTTTTTTGAGACAGAGTCTTGCTCTGTTGTCCGGGCTAGAGTGCTGTGGCATCAGCCTAGCTTACAGCAACCTCAAACTCCTGGGCTCAAGCAATCCACCTGCCTAGCCTCCTGAGTAGCTGGGACTACAGGCATGTGTCACCATGCCTGGCTAATTTTTTCTATATATATTTTTAGTTGTCCAGCTAATTTCTTTCTATTTTTAGTAGAGACAGGGTCTCGCTCTTGCTCAGGCTGGTCTGGAACTCCTGACATCGAGCGATCCATCCATCTCAGCCTCCCAGAGTGCTAGGATTACAGGTGTGAGCCACCACACCAGGCCTGAATTATATTTTCGATGTGCTGTTGGATTCATTTTGCTAGTATTTTGTTGATGATTTTTGCATCTATGTTCATGAGGGATATTGGTCTGTAGTTTGATTTTTCTGTTGTGTCTTTTCCTGGCTTTGGTATCAGGGTGATACTTGCTTCATAGAATGAGTTAGGGAAGAAGATTCCCTCCTCAGTGTTATGGAATAGTTTCAGTAGGATAGGTGTCACTTCTTCCTTGTGGGTCTGGTAGAATCTGGCTGTGAATCCATCTGGTCCTGGGCTTTTTTTTTCTTGTTTGGAGATTTTTTATTACTGATTTAATCTTGCTACTCATTATTGGGCTGTTCAGGATTTCTCTCTCGTTCTGATTCAAGCTTGAGAGGTTGTGTGTTTCCAAAAATGTATCTATTTCCTCTAGATTTTCTCATTTGTGTACATAGAGATGTTTTAGTAGTATTGGATGATGATTTGTATTTTTGTGGTATCAGTTGTAAGAGACATGATACATTCTTAAACTAAGACACTATCAGTAGGAATGGAGAGAAGTAGATGAAGTTGAGATGTACTTAGTAAGTACACTTAGGAAGATTTGTTGAGTAGAAGTATGGGAGAATGAGAAGCCTGGATAGACAAACATTTCTGTATGAAAAATTTGGTGAATGATGATGCCATTAATTGAGAAAGAATAATAAAAGGTAAAAGAGATTTTGTAGGGGAAAGTGTAAATCCTGGTTCTCCAATGAACAACTCTGAAACTTTGGGAAAAAGTTACTTGATGTCTCTAGTTTAAGAAGATTAAATAAGAGAGAATAAGTGAGAAATCATTTGGTAGTGTACTTTTTAATAGCAGGAACCCAGTAAGTTTCCTTTCTTCTTTCTAACTATATTTAAATAATGTTCACTTGCCATTAAAGAGTACTAATTTATTAAATATTAACACTCATTAAAGGGCTTTGGAAGAACTCCAGGAACAGTGGCATTTTTTTTGTGGAGTATAAAGCCATGCTTTGATACATTAGAAAAAAAGTTTCAGGTTCAAATAAATCACTGCATTTGTATTGCAGTCTGAAAAAGATAGATAATTTATCTATCCAAAGACCAATTATAAAAAAGTCAAATAATTTATAAGTATTTAGTATGCACTAGTTTCTATGAAGCAGATAGGTAAGTAAAAAACAATTTAGGCCTCAAGAATATACAGTAGATACTTGAACAACATAGGTTTGAACTACACAGTTTCATTTATATGCACAGGTTCACTTTTTTTTCAATAAACATTACACTGAATGTACCTGCATCTCCTGCCTCCCCTTCCACCTTCTCCACCCCTGCCACCTCGGAGGGAGCAAGACCAACCCCTTCACGTCCTTCTCCTCCTCCTCCTCCTCTGCATACTCAACATGAAGATGATGAGGATAAAGACCTTTATGATGATCTACTTCCACTTAATAAATAGCAAATATATTTTCTCTTCCTTATGATTTTCTTAATAACATTTTCTTTTCTCTAGCTTACTTTATTGTAAGAATACAGTATATAATATATATAACATACAAAATATATATTAATTGACTGATTATGTTATCGATAAGACTTCTAGTCAATAGTAGGTTATTATTAGTTAAGCTTTTGAGGAGTCAAAACTTATACGTGAATTTTCGACTACATAGGGAGTTGGCACCCCTGACCCCCACATTGTTCAAGGGTCAATAGTAGTTGCAAAGAAGATTACTCACTTAGAAAGACATACAACAAAAATGTCTGTGGACTATAAGTACAAAACCCGAGATACTACAGTATTAAGTGCAGAGGAGGGTGAGAGCATGCAGTAAGTGACATTAAGTTGGTGCTTAAATGTGTTGGATTTGGCAAGTAGATCAAACAAAACCTAAAACATTAATGTGCACTTAGGAATTAGGCATGAACATAAGCAAATCCTGAAAAACATGGAGGAAGAACAGAATGTTGCAAACTTGATGGGCAATATAGCAAACATGCTTGGCTGAATGGAAGATTCATTCTGTAGTGAGAAGTAAGAGGAAAGGAAGGTGGGATTACAAATTCCCTTCTAATTTTTAAAAGGGAAAGTTATGATTTGCATGTAAATTTCATTTATATACTTTTGGGAATGTTAAATTTTTGGAGACAATTTAAACAAATAAGATGATCAGAATAGTGGCAATAATGATAATGAAACCTAACATGTATTTAGCATGTACTATGTTACAGGCACTGTTTTAAGATCTTTACATGGATGATTATCTTACATAACCTTACCTTATGTAAGATTATCTTACATAATCTTACTCTATGAGGTAGATGATGCCCAATGAAGGGTTATGGGAAAGGGTGAGTTGCAGTCTTTTCTTTAAATTCTTCTGAAATCAAAGACTTGCACTTGCTTTAAGCAGTGGTAGAACAGTCGATTGCCTGAGCTATGAGAGACACTGAGAAGATTCTTCTGCCCCAAAATATTTCTCTCACCCAAGTGTTAAAGTATCTGAAATTCTATTAGAAGTTCATTATTGTTCTTTCCAGATACTGATTTTAAATGATTTAAAGGTTTTAAATGTTTTAAGTGATTTATCATTTATAAAAATTAATGATGAACATTTTAGCAGGAATGAATACATCAGCTCATTTCCCAGACTGAGAGAAGCCCAAATCAACACAACCATGTGCTGGAGAGGAAGAGAAACACAAAGGACAATAGGATAAGGGAAATAATCAAAAGAAAAAAAAGTGTGCATGTGTTGGGATGGTGATGGATAATTCTGGGTTTGATCCTAGATCAGAGAAATGAAATAGCCATAGAAGACGTTTTTTTTTCAGACAACTGGGGAACTTTGAATATGGAATGTGTGTCAGATAACAATATTGTATCAGTATTAAATTTCTTGGTATTGCGATTATGTAGGGAGAAGGTCTTTGTCCATAGGAGAACATGTATGTTGAAGTATATGGGAAATGTCATGATGTTTGTAATTTACCTTCAAATAGTTCATAAAAATGTCTGTTTCTGTGTGTATATGAATATATCTCTATTCCATCCATCCATCCCTCCATCCATCCATCCATCAGATAAAGCAAACATGGCAAAATGTCAACAAATGGTGAACCCAAGTAAAGATTAAAATAACATAAAATAAAAATGACATAAAGAGACATGAAAATAAAATATCTAAATCTCCATGCAGGGTATGGTGAACAAAGCAATTTTTTTTTTTATTTTGGCATATTATGGGGGTACAGATTTTAAGGTTTCAATAAATGCCCATTTCCCCCCCTCCCCTCAAAAGTCTGAGTCTCCATCATGACCATCCCCTAGATGGTGCACATCTCACTCATTATGTATGTATATACCTGCCCCCCTCCCCCCTCCCACCTGGCCAATACCCTATTACTGTAGTACCTATGTGTCCACTTAGGTGCTACTCAGTTAATACCAGTTTGCTGGGGAATATATCTGGTGCTTGTTTTTCCATTCTTGGGATACTTCACTTAGTAGTATGGGTTCCAGCTCTAACCAGGAAAATATAAGATGTGCTATATCACCATTGTTTCTTAGAGCTGAATAGTACTCCATGGTATAAACAAAGCAATTTTGATGGCAGTTGTTTAAACAGTCAGTTAATAATTCTTTGATTTTATACCATTTGCCCTGAAAATAAATTGAAGGTTCTGACTTATGTTAGCGATGCTGTTAAAAATGAGAGAGAATAATATGTTTGGAAATAGAGACTGGAGAAAGCTAATGTTTACCGTTATAAAGTATAAAAAAGTTGTAAGATAAAAATGATTTCAAGCCTACCAGCGGTCCCCAATCAACACTATTAACTTTTTAGTTATTTATTACTCTAGCTATATACTTTAGCACAGTGCACCAATGCACCAATGTGGACAACAGTGTAATTTCTTGATGAGATGGCTTTCTATACTGAGTAGTATTTACTATTCATGCTCAGTTGTTTATGGTTAGTATACTGTTTTCAAGCTGAGTTGAAGTATACAGAACAGTGATATTGGTCACTTATAGGTATTCAAGTTGAACTGAAGTGTATAGAATGATCTTAGTCATTATAGGTATTATCTCACTAAAGTGAAATAAGAATCATAATGAATAATAAATGTCATAAATATAACTGACAGAAAACTGTCACATTCAAATTTCAGGCACAGAAAAAGCATCACTGTAAAAAGTACTTTACTTGCTGAATTGGTAGAGATGAAAAATTGAGAGAAAAGTCAATCTAGTATCTAAAAAGTAGCCATGAAAAAAATCTATCAGGAATTAAAGTCACCAATGCCAAAAGAGTTATGTCTAAAAATTACAGCATTAGGAATGCCAAAGGCCACTTTTGTTCTTGGAATCACATACCCAGATGTAAATAATAAGCTTCATGAGGGCAGAAACAGCCTCTTTCTTACCTAATATTATTTACTGTTATACCCAGATATAGCAAGACCCTGAAACATGGGTAAGAAATTCTTGCATAATCTATTTTTCTTGTCAAGAAAGGCCGAGGCGGGCGGGTCTCGAGACTGGGTCTCGCTCTTGCTCAGGCTGGCTTCGAACTCCTGACCTTGAGCAATCCCCCGCCTCGGCCTCCCAGAGTGCTAATGTTACAGGCGCGAGCCACCGCGCACGGCCAATGCTTCCTTTTCCATTTTTAGGTTTTTGTTCATACAATAGTAAGCATCTGAGCAAAATAAAAATAATTCAGGCAACATCTTTTATACCTGTACTGATATGTACATAAAATCATGAAGTTTCCTAAAATAAGGAAAAAAGAAATTCTTCAAATACTTACCAGAAGTGGTATTATTTGTAAAGTATTTTTGATGGACGGATTTTTGCAAATGTTTTCTTGTATATCTGAAATAATACCACAATACAAAAAAAAATTTAGTTATATATATTGAAAGAGAAGAATGACTAAAGAATCAAATATTAAATTCTGATGTGTCAAAATATTCAAAATTGAGTACGAGGCTTTTTTTTCCCATCAACCCCAGAAATAGTTTTTATATTAGGTCCAAAAATAGAGCAATTTGATAGAAACAATTATATAAAACTTATGTTAATAAGATCCCTAGTACTTTGACTATTATATAACTATATTTATTTAAATGTTATATTTTCTTTTTCCTTTTTTTTAAACCCCAAAATGAATTTCATCCTTGTAGCCTCTCAGGAAAAAAGAGATGTTTATTTAGCTATTAAGGTATAAGAAATTGCATAATTTAGTCAATGCTTGCCTTTTTTTTTTTTTTTTTTGAGACAGAGTCTCTTTGTTGCCCAGCCTAGAGTGAGTGCTGTGACGTCAGCCTAGCTCACAGCAACCTCAAACTCCTGGGCTCAAGGAATCCTGCCGCCTCAGCCTCTCTAGTAGCTGGCACTACAGGGATGCGCCACCATGCCCGGCTAATTTTTTCTATATGTATTAGTTGGCCAGTTAATTTCTTTCTATTCATAGCAGAGACTGGGTCTCGCTCTTGCTCAGGCTGGCTTCGAACTTCTGACCTCGAGCAATCCGCCCGCCTCGGCCTCCCAGAGTGCTAATGTTACAGGCGCGAGCCACCGCGTCCGGCCAATGCTTCCTTTTCCATTTTTAGGTTTTTGTTCATACAATAGTAAGCATCTGAGCAAAATAAAAATAATTCAGGCAACATCTTTTATATGAAGCATTTAAATAAGTAGAAGTATCATATAGAAGTAAAAATCCTCTAATTATTGACTTGAGTTTTTTATTCTTTATCTGCATAATTATATATCTTATAGCTATAGTTTTATGTAGCTTTTGTGGTTGTAGCTTCCTGTTTTTGATTAATATATTATTTTAAAATTTAATTTTAATTTTAAAATTAACATCACATACAAATAATGTATAAAACATATATGCATATTTTAAGGCTAATGTCTGTGTAATCACCTAGATTAAGAAATTTGAACATTATCACTATCCTAGAAGCTTCCTAGAGCTCCCTGCCTCTACCATGCCCTACAGATTACATTCTCTTCCCTCACCCATGGAGGTTATTGACCCACTATATTGACTTTATTTCTTTGTCATTCTAGCACATACATCCCTGCAAAATAATATTATTTAGTTTTACCTGATTTGGGACTTCACATAAATGGAATTATACCATCTTTCTTTTCCTGTGAGTTGCCTTTGTTTGCTTAAAATTATATATTTTTAGATTCATCCATGATGATGTGTGTAGCATAGTCTGTGAATGGTATTGATTCCTTTATTTGATGTTCAGCTTGACTGTTTTTAGTATATATAAATGCTACTGGTTTGTGTACATTGATTTTGTGATCTGAGACTTTGCTCAATTGATCAATTCTAGGAGTCTTTTGGTGGGATCTTTAGGTTTCCCATATGTAAGATCATATCATTGGCAAACAGGGATAATTAGACATCCTCTTTACCAATTTGGATGCCCTTTATATTTCTTTCTCTTGCATGATTGCTCTGGTTAGGACTTCTAGTACTATGTTGAACAGAAGTGGTAAAAGTGGGCATCCTTGTCTTGTTCCAGTTCTTAGGGGGCAGGCTTTCAACTTTATGCCATTCAGGATGATATTAGCTGTGGGTTTGTCATGTATGCCTTTTATTATTTTGAGGTATATTCCTTTTATGTCTAATTTGTTAAGGGTTTTTATCATGAACATTGCTGGATTTTATCAAATACTTTTTCTGCATCTATTGAGATTGAGATGATTATATGAGATGATTATATGGTTTTTGTTTTTAATTGTGTTTGAATTCATTAAAAATACCAAATTAATCCAAAATAAGGCAAAAAGGGGAGAAAAATAAACATAGAAAAGATAAGAAAAATAGAAATACTATTAGAATAGAACTAATAGAACTAGTATATTCTAATTTACTAATTCTGAATTTTAAATTTCAATTATTATATTTTCCATTTCTAGGCATTCTATTTGGGCCCCTTTTCAAATATGCTTGTTCATTCATCATCGTTTCTTATTCCCTGATTGTATCTTTAAACTTATTTCTGATTCTTTTAAAATATATAAACATGGTTATTTTATAGTCTATGTCTGGTAATTTCATGGAAATAGTATTTCTATTTTTCCTATCTTTTCTATGTTTATTTTTCTCCCCCTTTTTGCCTTATTTTGGATTAATTTGGTATTTTTTTCTGTGACATTTTCCCTTATCTATCAGTTTGGAAGTTGTATTTCTATTTCTAGTTCTTGAGAAGTAACTATAGTAATTACCACAGGCATACTTCAATTATCCACATCCAAATTTAGTCTATATCTTTACTGAATACCCTAACAATATAAAAATTCTATTATACTTTAACTATTTTTATATCTTCCCAACTTATGTACTATTGTTGGTAGGTATTTTAATTCTAACTTTTTTCTTTGAAACACATGCTACTTTATTATATTTATTGTTTTATACAATGTTTGTTCAAATTTGCCCTCTCACACTGGCCATGTGAGATATTCTGTATACAGACATGCATTTGTTAGAATTTCCTTTAATAAGAGTCTGCTGTTAACAAGTCTTTCAGTTTTTGTCTGAACATATTTTTAATTCACTCTCATTCTTTAGAGACATTTTCAGTTTAAAAATATTTTAAATTTGGGAGTTACTTTCTCTCAGAGCATGTTGAATACATTATTTAATAACTTTTGACATTTTCAATGTTTTCTGCCTTTTTTGTTGCTGATTCAAATTCATTGTGATATAATCTTGGTGGGGATTTTTTTTTTTAATCCTGTTTGAAATGTGCTGAGTTGTTGAATCCGTGGGTTGGTATTGTTCATTACATTGAGAAGACCATTATCATTTTAGATTTTGCCTCTGGCCTTTCAGGCCTTTTTACTCACTCCTCTGTGTCTTTTAAGCTCTCTTTCATATTTTCCTTCTCTTTGTCTCTCTGGACTTTATTCTGGATAAGTTTCCTTGATATATATTCTAGTTTACTAATTCTGAATTTTAAATTTCAATTATTATATTTTCCCTTTCTAGGCATTCTATTTGGACCCCTTTTCAAATATGCTTGTTCATTCATTATAGTTTCTTATTCCATGATTATATCTTTAAACTTATTTCTGATTCCTTTAAAATATATAAACATGGTATTTTATAGTCTATGTCTGGTAATTTTATTATCTAAATCCTTTTTGAGTCTGTGTATTCTGTCTTGTGGTTTCTTCTGATTTTTTTTAATGGTAACTTTTTTCTTTATGGATTAAATTATTTATTTTAACTTTTTATTGTGGGCTGCTCATTTTCTTTGGATTTCATTTGTGATAATTCTTTGAGGACCGAAACATAGGTAGGTTTCTCCGGAAGAGATATAAATTTACTTTTTCCAGGTGTTTTGGGATACTACCAGTTTGGGATCATTCTAAATTAAATTCTTTGCTTGAGGTTTTAAGGACCACTCAGGTAATATAATTATGACTATAAATTAGTGTGATACTTAACTAGACTATGGTTCCAAATTCTCAGGGATGATTTTTCCTTCATTATCTGCATAATACTGAAGTTCAAGAAATGCAAACTTTATTTTTAATTCTCCTCCCCACCCTTTCCCATCTCTTCTGTGAATGTATATGTAGGGCATTAGCTCTTTGGGTGGCCCAGATTTATGATGAGAGTAGACCCTGGGTTTTGTCTCCATTTCCTTTTTTTTTCTGTGAGGTATGAAAAACAAAGCAAAGTTCAATTTCATTCCATGAGTTAAATATCCTTAGGACAAAAGCTAGCTGCAACACTCTTCTTATCATTCTTGGCTCCTATCTATATTTAGTTCTTGGTCTTAAGAATTCCTTACATTCTTACTTGCTCATCACAATATTTAAAGTTTTTAAAATAAGTAATAATTTATGGTTGTTTTGATGGATGGTTAAGATAGATACGTAGCCTGTCCATTGCTGAAACAGAAGTGTATTCATATATTCCTAAAAGACAGTTAAGCTTGGCAAAGAAATTGGCATCATCATAAATGTTATCATAAATGAGATGGTATACTTGAAATAGTATGGCATATTCAAATATATTCTCAATTATATGTACTAAATTAACTAGGTTATAATATGGATATATTTTGTATTTTAATTTTTAATTTTTAAATTAAAGTTTAAATTAAAATTGTCTAAGTAAAAATTACAACATTTCTTACAGAAGTTGTTCTTCCATACTTACAGTGTAACCTTTCATTGAGATGATTAAGGGACTGTAGAATCTTCTGTTCTTCAGCTGATAGTGTGCAGATGTTGAGTTGCTGTGTCTTATTTAAATCCATATTTGGCTTCTGTAGCTGCTTGCTATTCATGATAGTTAGAATTTCATCCTCAGGCACTGATGCATTCACTAGGTTTTCAGCCATCAAAAACTCAGAGGTACTATCTGAAACTACAGAAAGTTTACATCAATCATTCTTTGATTCTTTTTTGTCTTTGAGAGCAGCCCCGATGCATACTTAACCGATGTATGTCTGTATGCATTCATTTCACAAACAGAGACCCAGTAAATATTCTGTTACTTTGGATTGTATTTATCAGGACCCTCTATTTAGCATTTTCCCGTGCTTAATTAAAAAAAGGATATTCAAAATGTTGGCAGTGAGTTAATAAAAATTCTTAAAGTGTTACCTGAACTAAAGAAAAAATACATTAAGTTTAGGTAATATGTTTTTAGTGTTGTGTGTTTGTTACTCACTGGTGGTACAAAAAGAAGATGAAGATTGTCTTTATTATAGCAGTTATAATGAACTCTAAATAAAACAATAAGTGAAAAGGAACTTAAGGAAAGATTAGAAAATGTGAGGATCAGCTGAACAGAACTGACAAACTAGAAGTAAACTCAATTAGATATAAGAATATATGATCAAAAAAGCTTCAAAATCTTAGAGAAGGAAAAGATGATTCAATAGTTTGTTGCTTATAAAAGAATCAATTTGGAGTTTCATACTGTCTATTTAAACAAATTCTAAAGAAATTAAAGAGTTAAATTTAAGAAATCAACCTAATAACTACAGCAACGTAAAAGAAAAAAGAAACAAACATTTCCAAATTTCTGTATTGAGAATGTTCTTTGAACTTAAAAGTAATGGAGAAATCACTAAGAAAAGACTAAAACATGCTTACTTAAGGTCAGCCTTCCCTAACAGACTTTAAATTTCTGAAGGGCAAATACTTTTGTATGTTTTGTTCATTATTGTACAGATTAAGTATCCCTTATTTGAAATTCTTTAGACCAGAAATGTTTCAGAGTTTGGATTTTTTAGAATTTTGGTATATTTTCATATACCTAATGAGATATCTTGGGGATAGGACCCAAGTTTAAACATGAAATTCATTTGTTTCATATGTACATTATACATAGCCTAAAGGTAATTTTATATAATACTTTTAAATAATTTTGTGCATTTAATAAAGTTAGTGTACATTGAATCATAGGAAAGCAAAGGTATCACTATCTCAGTCACCCATGTGGACAATCTGTGGTTGTTTGGCATCACCACCATTCCTGACTCAATTCGTATGCTACTGATGAGCAATCATTTTTTTCACATTTATTCAAAACTTATGTACTTAACAGTAAAAAATATGATATGCCAAAAATATGTGTTCAGGATAACAACTAAGCAGCACGGTAGCATCACTAGAATTAGCTGTTAAACAGCAGCAACAACAAATAATAGCAGGCTTTTGTTTGATTAAAAGGTTACTGTATACTGTCTTTTTTTTTTTTTTTTTTTGGTGAGAAGAAACATTAGAAGCAGTTCATGGACCAGGAGTGGGTTTTCTAGGGATGAAGAGACATTCTACTGGATGACTTTTCTAAATGTTTCCTTCAGAATCATCTGTTTCATTAACAATGTTTTTTTTTTTTTTGTCTTAGAAGCTTATCTTTGATTTTAAAAACTGACAAGATTTCCTGTTGTTATTAATACAAGGGGCTCTAGTCCATCACACATTTTCACCATGTTGTCAATAGGTACTTTTTCTTGCAGTGTTAACAATGTCATCTACATCATCACCATTATCATGATCACCTTGATTTAGAACCATTTCAGCTATTTCACCATCCATCAATGAATGAAAAATGAAGAAGTTAAAAACTTCTTCTTTTTTTTTGAGACAGAGTCTTGCTCTGTTGCCCTGGCTAGAGTGAGTGCCGTGACATCAGCCTAGCTCACAGCAACCTCAATCTCCTGGGCTCAAGCAATCCTCTTGCCTCAGCTTCCCGAGTAGCTGGGACTACAGGCATGCACCACCATGCCAGGCTAATTTTTTTCTATATATATGAGTTGGCCAATTAATTTCTTTCTATTTATAGTAGAGACGGGGTCTCGCTCTTGCTCAGGCTGGTCTTGAACATCTGATCTCGAGCAATCCGCCCGCCTCAGCCTCCCAGAGTGCTACGATTACAGGCATGAGCCACTGCGCCCAGCCTAAAACCTTCTTTGACATCCCCTTCTTCCAGCTTAATGATGGACTCTGTAGGTCAGACATCATTTTTTCTCACTTGACATATGGAATTCTTCAAAGTCACTACTTTGTTCATCATCATCACTAAACATAGTCGCCTGCCAGAGGTTGTGCAAGACATGAACAACTGTGTCTTTAGTCACTGTGTTCCAAGTGTTGGCAACAGTAAATACTTCATCCTTCATGCTAACCTCCTTTTAAAAACCTTCTACATCCATGCCTTTTTTCACTGCTGCTAGCATTCTGTTTAAGAAAGTGGTTTTATATTTACTCTTCATTGATCTAAGGATACCCTGGTCAACTGGCTGAATTAACGAAGTCATATTTTGGGGAAAGTACATGGCATAAACATTATTTTTGATAAGAATTTCAGCAGGAGAATGAGCAGAAAAGTTGTCAAGGAATAACAAAATATTTCAGTTGTCATTCATTCAGTGCAGCTTCTCTGGTACAAAATGTTTATGAAACCAATCAGAAAAGATGTCTCTGGTGATGCATGCCTTTTTGTCAGTATGTAATGAACTCGTAAGAAATTCACTTCTTAAAAACAGCAAGGATGCAAGCTTTTGCCTATTACAGCAAGTTTACACTTATGTGTGCTTGCTGCATTAGCACATCCCAGCATAGTTATCCAGTCCTTGGTAGTCGTAATTTTTATAGGGGTTGTCTCATCAGCTATAGTCAGTGTCTTTTTGGGACAATAATGCCAAAACTTTGATACTTCACGAGCACTGTATACTTGTTTTGGTGTCAGATTTTCATCAGCAACAACCTTGGCAAATCTTCAATGAATTTCTCCACTGCTTTGCAATCAGCAGATGCTTTATCACCACAAATCTTTAAAAATTTAATGGTGTATCTTTTCTTAAATTTCTGTAACCTTGCCTGTGTAATATTCACATTCCCTTCAATTTTCAGTTCTTCATGATAGATCTTTGCTTGTTTCATGGTCAGCATACCATATTAAGTGGCATGTGATGCCAAGAGATGTACTCTTTCAATACATGATTGAGAGCTTTATTTTTAGCTTCATGCAGTATTTTTCTATTTTTCATTAACTTCTGTTCATAACTTTTAGCATAGAACTTCAACAGTTTATCCTTCTGTTTCTTCAGGTCACATATGGTGGTCATTCCAATACCATACTCTTCTGTAAGATGTTTCACACTTATACTGCTGTCCAGTTTCTCCAACAGCTTGATTTTCTATGCTATAAATATAAAGTCTTCTTCTTTTCTTATCACTGTCACCCATAGGGGTATCTGTAGGCCTTTTTGACATTTTCAACAATGTCTTTATATTATAAAGCAGAGAATAAGCAAAAAATACAGTGAGTAATGCATATAGGTCTTGGTCCCATGTGAGGTCTTGTAAGGAACCTGCTTGTTGTTGGCACACATGGCCTGCACATGTGCTATTTCATTACTCTTTGTGGGAATGCTTGTGTGCAGAAATCTGGGCATGCATGGAAAAGATATATCACAGATGAAGGGAGTTGGGAAGGTCTTTTTTCCCTCGGTAACGCTGAATAAACTGTATGTTGTGTGTGTGCTTTGACTGTGATCCATCACATAAGGTCAGGTGTGGCATTAAGTCAGTGCTCAAAAAGTTCTGGATTTTGGACTTTTGGATTAGGGATGTTCAACTTGTATATCCAATATGTAGCTCTCAACAATCATTTATTGGACAAACAAATAAAAATTAAAACTTATGTATGTAAAAATATAACATAAGTGGAACAAGATGCAAATAATAAAATAGAGAAAACATTTGCAACTAATATAACAATTAGAATCCTTGATATTTAAAGAATTTGTAGAAATCAGTAAGAAAATTTCAAAACTCTAGAATTTAAGGAAAAGGACATGAAGAGACTATTTACCAAAAAATACATATAAAAATTAAGCATATTATTAATAAAAATTGAAACTAATAAAATACAATTTCTTTGCTTATCATATAAACAAGTATTAGAAGATCCTACCTCAAGTTGACATATACCACTGGACATACACCACCAGAAGAATTCTGAATGAATGCTTTTCAGGCAAATACTTTAGCAATATGTATGAAAACCCATATCAATGCTTATTTCCTTTTATCCAGTATTCATTTAATACACAGAGTATCATTCAACAAATATTTACTGGGTCCCAATTATATGCAAGTTACTTTAATTTTAATTTTGGTACTCTATCCTACAGAAATAATTGAAAAGTCAGGAAATAGCTTGATATAGAAAGATGTTCAATATATTATTACTTAGAATAAAGAAACTCTGGCATTGACCTGAATGTGCAGGGGTGAGGAAAGTTCAGGTTCTAAATAGAGGCTTACCAATCACATAATAAGTAAGCACCTGAGAATACACATATATGGAAAAACAAAATCACTGGGAACAAGATTGGAGGAAAACGTTCAAACTAAAACATACCTTCTTCAATATTAGAAGTACCCCTTGTAGTTTGTTTTGGCTCACTTGAACTTAGCTGTATACCTTGTCTAAAATTCTATAAAAATAGAATATTGAATTAAAACATAATTCCATATTTAAAATTTATAATATATACATGGACTTTTAAAAAACTTTTAGTTACTGTATATATTTTCAGCTATCATTATTTATGTAGTTTGTATATTTTCTTTTTTCATATGAAGCTGAAATCAAGAATTACTGAAATGAAACCATTTTATCATAACTGAATATTTAAAAAAATTTTTTTTTATGTCCACCAAAAAAATTTCAGGTTCTGATGTTGTCTTGGATATTTGAAGAGGTAAAATAAGTTGGGTGGCAATCAAAAATGCTAATTAAAGGAAAGGTAAAAATCACTTTAAAGTTTATAACCTACTTGGTTTATCATTGTAAGGGTGAATCACTAGACAAAAGCTTCTGACTTTGGCTAATGCCAAGGATAGATAAGTATCTTATTTGATAAAACTTAAAATACAAATAGCTGACCCAATGCTGCACAGAACCTGGAAAAGGGAAATCTCAGAGCACTGGCAATAAGTGCACCTATTCAACACTTTCTGAGATATACCATCTCTTCTTCCCTGAATATGACCTACTTTCTTTCTTTATTTCTATTCTGTTTCACTTTAAGAAATGATTGTTTTCTCTCAGATAAAACTGCCTGGCTATGATTATACTTAACCTTTGTTCAGTCTGATCTGAAGAGTAACTGCAGATTTTTGCAACACCTCTCCTTCAATAACTTTCATAGTCTTGCCTGATCTCCACTATAGACATTAGATACCTTAGACTGAAACCCTGGTGCAAAGTGGCAATTGTGCTTTTTCCACCTTTCCTTAGATTTTCTCCACATAGAAGTAGTGGGCTGGAGAAAATCCAGTATGATGAAATATATACATTTCCCAATCCAAGGTGACAAGGGCCCACTACTGTAATAACTGGACCCTTGGTTAGGCTCTGTAATAAAAAATGAAATAAAAACAAAACAAAATAATACGTGGCATAATGGTCATTTGGTAAAAAACAAAGCAAAACAAAATAATAAGAATGAAAAATTTTGATTCAGGAACACTGACCTATTCTAAGGCTAATAAGACTTTGGAAGATATGTAAGCAGATGTGTGAGTGGAAGATGTGTATGTGAAAGTGGAATTGAGGCTTCTGGAAAAGAGGACAAAAGTGGACTTTGAAGATAGTAAGATAGAATGCAAAGGAGCAAGAGATAGAATGAAATAAGATCTAGTAAAATAAGAATTAATTTAGAGAGGGCACTAATAACAGGCATTTGGAATTTAGTTTGTGCATTTTTTTTTTGCTTATAGCAACTACATAGTACTAAATTTAAAAAATGTTAATAAAAATAAAAAAATAAGGGTAAAAGATGTTTTCACTTTATGGATTTTGAGATGTTTAATGGAAACAATAAGGAAGTTAAAATAGAAGGACTTAGGTACTATTGTATTTGTAATTAGGAAGTTATTTTTGTAATTAAGTACTATGTTATTAAGCAATAAGACTATGTTGGTAATGTGACTAACTTTATTTTCATAAATATATAACTAAATGACTTGTTTTGCTAATAAGATTAGATCTGGGTTGATTATTCTCCATATTATATAATAATCTTATCCATATATATAAAAATCACTACTTCCTATGATATACAAATGATAGGACCCTCAACCTATAACTTAGAATATAAATTCTTCATAAGACACCATATTCAAGTTATATTTAAAAAAACAGAAGTGATGTTTCAAGTGGAAACTCCAAGTGAAATGTTATTTACTTATCCATAAAGACTTAATATTCTTTTTTTTTTTTTGAGACAGAGTCTCACTTTGTTGCCCAGGCTAGAGTGAGTGCCATGGCATCAGCCTAGCTCACAGCAACCTCAAACTCCTGGGCTCAAGCGATCCTCCTGCCTCAGCCTCCCAAGTAGCTGGGACTACAGGCATGCACCACCATGCCCAGCTAATTTTTTGTATATATATTAGTTGGCCAATTAATTTCTTTCTATTTATAGTAGAGACGGGGTCTCGCTCTTGCTCAGGCTGGTTTCGAACTCCTGAACTCGAGCAATCCGCCCGCCTCGGCCTCCCAGAGTGCTAGGATTACAGGCGTGAGCCACCGCGCCCGGCCTAAGACTTAATATTCTTAAATCAATCCTTGGATCAAGTTAGATATCTAGAAGATGTCATATTTAGACCACATTTACTTAGCTCTCATAGAATTGCCTCTACTTATTTTTAAATTGTTATTATGCTTTTGGCCTTTTTGAAGATCCCTATCACAAACAGCCATGTGAAACTCTATTCATTTGTTGTTGAACTGTTACTGGGAACATATTCATTATTTACTTCAAAGTCCCCTATAAAAGGTCCTCAATGACAATTTTTTTAATGAAAAAATCTTTTAAAATATTATATCCAAAACAACAACATCATTATCAATACCCATTGAGAATTATGTCATCCAATTTTTCTTTTTGTCATGTCTTCCAGGAAGCTCAGATCCAAATAGGATATTCAATCACATGGAATTATATTAGTCTTTATGATTAGCATACTTGCTTCCTCTATGTATGCCTCCAATTTACCTTTCTTTTTAAATGTATATTAAAATAACTTTGTTGAATTTTGTTGTAAAGGATCTTTTTGTCTAGCATTGGCTATTAATAATAACAAAGAAAATAATAGTGATTTCTTCAAGTTGGTTTAAAAATCTTCATTAGTAACTCATTATATACTAATTACAGAATGTAGTAAATAGGTATAGTGCAATAAACTCTTAGCATAAAAATTCCAAGACTGCTTCACATATATTTATATTTATGTTGTGGTATGCACTTTACAGCACAGTCCTGTAAGAACATTCTGTTTTCCAAGCAATTCTTCACAATTGAATAGAGATTTTTATTAATACTGTACTTACATTCATTTGCTTATCGTACTTCTGTCCTACAGATCCAGGGTTTTGGCTTTTCTTCTCCAAAAGACTTTGCCGTTTATTTTCGACAATTCGTTTTCTTCTCATAACAGTAGAATCTTAAACAAATGCCAGCACAATATCAAAAATTATGCAAGTTGAGTAGATAATATATATCCACTGCAAACTTTCACGTTACCTTCAAACATTACAGAAAATTCTATAAGTTTCACTCAGTCAGCAGATTTTATTGAGCTCTTCTTACATGTTCTATGCATAGCATAGTTACCATGATGAATTCAATTAGATCCTTACTTTTGAGGGGTTGATAGTTTAGAACAGTGACCTCCAGAGCATGGTGCTGGAACACTAGAAGGTTATGTAAGATAATCCACAGGTGTGGTGAAAGAACATATTAGAATTCCAATTTATATTTAGTATTTAAAAATTAGAAATTAAACTTATGTCATATATGGTTGACACTGACACCCTTGTTAATTTGCAAGGAAGATGGTTATATATTGTATGCAGTAAACTCAGTTATCTTCAAAGGAGAGAAGTTTCAAGTGTGAGGATGGCAGTGCTCTCATTGCCATCATCATACTGACATCATTCATTAGTGCTCTTAGCTTCCTGCAATGCTTCTAAAATTTATATGTGTCCAGGGAAGTGGATTTATGCATATCTAGTAGTATCTTAACGAGTTCTCACAAAAGAGGAAAGTGGCTGAAAAAACTTTTGTAAGATGTATGTATAATGTATTATTTAAGGTGAGTGGTGGGTACATGGATGTTTATTATATTATTTTTCTATGCTTTTTGTACGATTATTTAATTAAAAACATTCTATGCCTTTTATATGACTATTTAAATAAAAACATTCCTATAAAATCATAGATCAAAAATAACAATGTTGCAGGGATAGGTTAAAAAAATAGCAGAGCTGACACATTTCTTATTTTCATTACAAACTTTTTGCCATATAATGACAATGACAGTATATCTGCAACAAAGTATCATAAATTCAAGAATTATCAAAAAAAACTAACAATAAATTTTACCTTAAATGTATATTATTCTGTGAGATATTAGCTAATGATCTATGGAATGAAGTCCTCATAATTGATGAGACATTTGAAAATCAAGCGTTCAGAGCATTACTAACAATATATGAGAGCAAAAGTATTATATACATTGTTAATACATAATATTTTTTATTCATTTATTATAAAAAGCTATTTCTTCTTATGGCAATTTTGATAATTAATGATTTCTGTAGAAATTTATCCAACTAATCTACATTTTTAAATCTATTAGCATTTGATTCATATGATCATCTTATATTTTTACAAAACTACGGTTCTGAGATCATGTCCCTCTTTTTGATTTAAATATTATTGATTTGTGCCTTTTTATATTTTTAATTAATATTTCACAGTTGTACATATTTTTAGGATACATGTGTACAATGTGTAATGACCAAATAGGGTAACTGGGATATTCATCACCTCAAATATTTATCTTTCCTTTGTGTTTAGAACACTACAATTCTTTCCTTTTAGCTATTTTTGAAATATACAATGAATTATTGTTAACTGTAATTTCCCCACTGCATTATTAAATACTGGAAGTTATTTTTATAATTATTTTAACATACATTCTACAACTTTCTTCTCATTTTCAATATTTATTCCCATTGAAATATGGCCTGGGAAAAATGAGTAGGTAAAAGTATTAGATAGGAAAGGAGAAGTGGAGAGATTGGATATTTAGGGAGAAGAAATGCCTGAAATAGTTATTGCAAAGAATGGAGAGTGGATTTAACAGAGAAACAGTAGGAATGATCGGTAATGTTGGTCCTCAGAGGTTGATGATCATGAATCTACAGTATAATCTATACGCCTGCCACATTGTGTGACTTCTCTCTGCTACGTAGGAGCAGTCAGAGAGAAAGTAGATAATTTGTTCCTTGTGTCTGGGGGAGGGAGGGTTGCTTGACTGGTGTGACAAAAAAGACCAAGGGGCAAAGAGTTAAGGATACTGGCATAAAATTTATTGAAATTATAAGCTATTAAATCTAAGCTGGATAAGGATTAAAAGATAAAAATAGAGCTGATGAATTGAAATAAGAAAGCAGAGAAAATAATGGACTAAAGATCCCAGTGAGGTAGAAGAACGGTAGGAGTAAGGATAGAGAAAACAGGAGATGTAGTAAGAGAGGAGAATGTGCTTGAGTTACTGATTTTAGAAGCAGAGATATGAATGTTGACAAGGTCCATTATATGACAAAGGGAATGGGTAGTTGAGGCAGAATGGTATAGAGTCATTAAAGATGAAAAAGGATTCAGAGAGATCAGTGTGTTGTGTTGCTCATACACGTAAATGCTGATTTATCCAGTATGATGACAAACACTCTGCACAGAAATGAAGACTGAACCAGATGCCAAAGTCATCTTTTGGCGGGGTGGGGAATGACTTGAGAAATCAGGTAGGGGTATAGCTGAATGGCTTAGACTTCATGGGAATAGTGTTTTTTCTAGAGAGTTCTCCTAGAATGTTCTGGGAATGCTAATAGACAGCAAGATGCCCTCCACAGTTGTCAACTCTGAGCACATAAGAGTGTGAGAATAAAATGACCTGGCAAATAGGAGAAACAAAAACAAATGCTCACTGAACTATAATCCAGTATTAGCAAAGGGTTCACTTGAAATATGTGGTACTTAGTTTGAAAAAAGCTTAAATGACTGAACATATAAAGTAGTATTTTAGTATTAGATTTTCTAAGTATAATAATTATATTAAGAGATATAGATATATACAACAGTTTAAAAATTTCTGTCTCTTTAAAAACATGGCTAAAAATGTTCAAATTCATTACATTTCCCAATGTCTCTTATATAAAGATCCCTGTGAGAACTACCTCCTTTGATTAAATGTTAGGAAAATAATAATTTCTCCAGTTTAACATATACATCCCATTCTTTTATCAGAGAATGAGATAACTTTAATGTGGTACCCTTTTGTACATAAGCTATTTTGTACATGTTTCCTAGTATTTTTCCTGATTAACACAAAGTTTGATATATGATATTTGCTTAATAACTATATTTTTAATATACTTTTAGTAGAAAAAATACAAGACTTGGAGCCATAGAGATTTGGCTCAAAATACCAATTCTGCTATTTACTAGCTCTTGACCTTAGGCAATTCTGTTTCCTTCTTTGCAAAATAGGGTTTTAAAAAATACTTATTTCTCAGTGTTGTCATAAGGTTTAAATGAAACAAATGTTAGGCACTTAGTACTACGACTGCTAAAGAGTAGAAACTCAAAAAAGGTCACCATTTGTATTTACCATTGTTTATTTTAGAATATCTAATCTGTATGATACCTTTATTTTTTGAAAGTATTGAGAAAATTAAAGTTACATTGTGAAATGAATGACGAGAATGAAGCTTTCAGTGAGAAAAATAATGTGTTTAAATCTAGATTTTTATAGACAAGTACTGAAGATTTTTAGATTACAGCCTTTGCATTTAGCTTCCCCATCTGCTAACGTGGCTTCTATCTGTTCAATTCAAGAAAAGTCTGGGTGACTACTAAGTGCGAGACACTTTGACTTGGGGATACAGTGATGAATTACAAAAATGTCCTCTGTCCTTAAAAGCTCATGATCTAATTGAAGGCTCAGAATATTAAATTTTAAACTGTCTCTTTATATATTAATATTTATTCATATCTTTGGAAAAAGGAGAGTTGCCTTTTCTGAATGCCTCCTTGCCCCAGTCCTAACGATTTTTCAATAGGCAACTGATTCCTACTTGTCAGATGGATTCCTACTAGTCCATTCTTACAAAGGAGAAAAGTAGCTTCATGAGGAGTCAACCAGCTACTAAGGGCAATGGTATTTTATAGAGAATTTACTTTCAAAAAATTTTAAGGCAATGGTATCGTTTTTTTTTTCTCCACATGAAGACCAATATGCATAGCAGATAGAGCAGAGCTGCTGTACTTTTGAAAAAGGAACGGGAGAATTAGGTATATCTATTATCAGCTTATAGCAATTCAATTTAACAGACATTTTAAAGAAAAATAAAGGAATATGATACTACATGTATTCACTTGTTTAGAATTTAAGCAATATTTTTCATTGTGCTTACCTTGACAGAAAATTTGACTACAATAGTAAAGATAGAATAATATGGGACAAGAATCGGATCCTATTCCTTATCCTCCCTCATGGGAAAAATGGAAGCTGGGAAAGTTTTCTAATTTTAGTTGAGCAAATGTTGGGTCATTCTCTTAAAAACTTCAGCTACTAAGCAGAAAAAGTTACAATATTCAAGGAGGTAAGTTATTCCTATAAATCTAAGTTATTTAATATTAATATCCATATAGTATATATTGCCATGCCTTAATAAAGACAATTTCATATTAATTTAAAAAGTTGTACATTTTATCTAAAAAAAGATATAAATTTATTCTTACCAGTAGCCCTCTCATTTTGATGCAGGATATTATGCCCTCTTTTCCTCAAGGGAACTGATTCTTCTTCAGTAGTTCTAAGAGTCGCAGACTGATAACTTTCTTCATAAACAGGAGTTCTTTGTGTACAATATAATGTCCCATTTTGCTGGGCAACCATTTGAGTGCCATTTGAATCATTTATTTTTGCTAAAGTTTGGCACTCAGAAGAATAATAAGATGGTAAAGATGGTATCACAGTGACTAGGTCAGAACAAGCATTTGAGAATGGAGTACTACTTTCTTGATTCCACTGATTCAAATTGTGTTCTGTTGGAAGCACATGTTTTGAATTAAAATAGTTATGTGTAATAATGTTTTGAAAATTTTCAGGTATTACTGATTGACACTGAGACACTTGTATCTTTTTACCACTTCTAATATTCGATGTAGATTTAGGAGGAGGATGAGGCATAATTAGTTTACCCTGAGCTTGTATAAATGTGTTGACTTTGCTTGCAGATTGTGGATGAATGACAGTGCCTCTTCTGTTTGTATATATATAGCCTGATTGGACTTTTGCAGATCCTTTTCTTCTAATTACTTTTGCTCCACCTCTTTGTGAATTACCTTTCTGGGTTTTAGAATTACCATCATGGACAGGGATTTTACTTTCTTCTTTATTTGAGGCTGGCCAGGCTTGTTTAGCAAAGTTACAACCTGAAGGTATAAAACAGTTCAAAGAGACATGGTCTGTTTCAGATCCTCCTAAAACAGTGACATTTTCTGAGAAATAATCATCCTCAGACTTCTTTCTATCAGCAGAATTTCCAGCACTAACAGGAACATTAATTATGTTGCTGCCAGCACCACTTTTAATGTGGAATTGTTGAGACCATTGTTGAGTTACTCCTGTTTTATTCTTCAGTGAATGATTGTCTTCAGCACTGTTTTCTATATTGCCAGTCTCATCAAACCACCTCAGTTTTTTAATAGTCTTTGTGATTTCCGCACCTTTTTCTTTTTCCTTTGTTAACTCAATACTATCTCTGATAGCTGCTGCTTTTTGATTTCCAAACTTTAAGCCTTGATTTATAATAAGTGCCTTAAGATAATCATGCTCATATTTAGAGTCTTTCTTTAAAATACTTTTAAGAAATCTCACACCATTTCTCTCATGAATGTTGTATTTCATTTTCTTGTGCTGGCCAACTAAGTCATAATTAGGAATTACATTAGACAAAGATGATGTTTCAGCTAATTTTTGTTTTTCATCTTTTGAATCAGGATTGTGAGGTATATAGGCAGCTTGAAAACTGTCTGAAAATAAAGGCAACTCTTCCTTATTACAATTAAAATATTTTATCTTTTCATATTTAGCATCTTTCAATTCATCTAACTTATCAGAACACTGCACTGGGTTGATTGCTTTTATGTATATACTATTCTTTGCTAAAGGTCTAGCTGATTGTGTATTAGATGGCAAAACTAAAGGTGTTGCTGCTGGCACGCACAAAGTAGGAACTGAAGTGGTTCTATTTTCTTGAGTTAATTCAGAATATTTCTCTTGGTCCGAAAATGTAGCCACTTCCTGGTTTAGAGGATCTGAAGTGCTCCAGGCTTTGCTGAATTTAAATACTGGGTTCTCAGTAACTAATGGCCTCTCTCTTTTGAATGCTCCAGAAGTGGAGTCAATTGGCCTCATAGTGCTAGTTTCAGAGGTCTTTTCACTTTTTTTATCTAGTACAAATATGGGTGGACTATACACAAAAGCTGCTGAATTATCAGCAGTATTTGTGGCTCTTTCTACAGTTCTACTCAAAGTAGATAGATTTTGTTCTTTGCAATTAAAACAGTCCCATGCAGATGGAACATTGGATTTACTCAAAACATCTGAGGAAGGTGTGACAGTCTGGGTATTTGGAGCATCTAAATTGGTAAGCCAGTTATTTATACGTTGAGTTTTAGAGAAGGACAGTTTATCTTCATCAAGGCAGCTCAGATTAGTTGATTGCAAATTTGCTGATTTGAGGGAAATGGTATTCTGCTGGATTGATGTAGAAGGCTCCTTAATAAGTGTTAAATATATTTCTTCACGCTCTCCAGCTTCAAGACTATCTATACTTGAGAGGGTTTCAGAATTGGTTATCTGATTAACTTCATCCCAAAATTTCTGGAAAACAGAGAACATTGTTTTATAGCTCACAAATTTTTAAATTGCAAAATTAATGATTCAACATACCATTTGTTACTAAACCCAGTTCGTCTTGGCATATAAAATAGAGTAACAAGACTATAAACAGTGTAGGTATATAAATAATCCTTATTGCAGCAATCCTCAGGGTAAAAAATAAGGAGGTAACAAAGACTTATAGCATACATGCTTTAATTTTAACTCCTAAAATAACTACCCACTTATTCTAGCCACAGCTATATCTTAGAAAATAATTTTGTTACTGCTATTCCACTTAGAGTATGAAGTTTTCTTGAAGGTTTCAGAACAGTAAGAGAAATTCTAAAAAATAGTTATTTATAAATTGTATTTTTTCCTGAAACATTTCCTGTACTTGAATGAGGCTCCTAAAAGCTCTGGGATCCCAATGTGAACTTCTTGTTGGTAGGAGGTACATCTTTTTTTTTTTTGAGCAGTGGCATCATCATAGCTCACTGCAACCTCAAACTCCTGGGCTCATGCGATCCTCCTACCTCAGCCTCCTGAGTAGCTGGGTCTATTGGCATGAGCCACCATGCCCAGCTAGTTTTTCTATTTTTTATAGAGACAGGGTCTAGCTCTTGTTCAGGCTGATCTTGAACTCATGGCCTCAAGTGATGCTCCCATCTCAGCCTCCCAAATGCTAAGATTACAGGTGTGAGCCACCGTGTCCAGCTGGGCTACATCTTTTTATAAAAGTTAATTTTTTGACTATAGTAAGGTTGAGTTTAATAAGTAACCCTTTCTAGATGCATGTTAGAATTACATAAGGACCTTTGTAAACCATATGTATGCCATTTTTCTTGAAAGGGGATTCAAAATAAAAGAAAATGTATGCCCAGGTCCTGCTGATTTAATACAATATATGCGTAGGGCCCATATATTGGTATTATTATTTAAATTTCCAAGTAATTCAAGTAGGAATTTAAGGTCAACTATTGACTTTAAGGACTCCTATTTGAAGATACAGCACAGTAATAATTTCCATAAATTCCATGGACATTCTCATCACTATTTCACTGAAATTCCCATGGAATTTATCAATCTTTAATAAAATTTCATGATCACTTTGAAGTATAGTAAATGTTTTAAGATATTTTTAATTTCTCACACATATCTAGAATGTATTAATCTGTATCATATATATAGAAATACATTTTAAGAAGACATTAAAATTGTAAATCTAGTCAAAAAGTTGAATAAACTCAAAGAAAATTAGTGTTCCTTAAGATTCAGCACAAATTTTAGACAATTTAAATATGATATAGACAAAAATACATTCTTTTTCTAGCCCAGGAAGTAAACCAAGAGCAAGGAAATAAGCTTATATAGCAAATTCTAATTGACATATTATTGTGAAATAAGCCTTGAAAATGATTCATGAGAGTTTTATATTTCTAGTATTTACTCCCTATTTATCATATCTTTTGGCATTCTTCTTAAAGTGATGTTCACTCAACCCAGTTAGGAGAACAAAACAAAGCACATCTACTTCAATGCCTATTCTTGGAATTGAGTTATTTTAATTGATAATGATAAGGAAACCAGGCCTGGAGGCTTCCTTTGAGATTGCATCAAATGAGACATAAAAATCTGGGTTAGAAGTTCCTTCTAGATATAAGTATGATGTCCATAGCTCTAACATTTCTGTTTGCATAGGTCTGTGATTGCTTCATCTCCCACAGCACCTCAAAAGAAGTTTGGCAACTTCTGATTTCATAAACTATACTTTTTTCCTCCTGAATTTTCCCCCTTACTAAACAATGAAACATTATGATCAGCTTCAAGTTTTGTTTGTAAGTTCTATTAGTCGTCCATCTTCTCTTTGTTCTCTTGCATGTAACATATCTTTTTATCCTCAGGCTTAATTTGATTTTGATGTGCCTTTGTATGGTGTGTCTATGTGTGTGTGTGCACACACACTTATCCTTCTTGGAGATCATTGACCTTCTTGGATCTGTGGATTCATAATTTTAATCAAATTAGAAATATTTTCAGCCATGGTTTCCTTAAATATTTCCTCTCCCCCTTTGTCAGATTTTAAATTTGTTGACTGATATTGTCTCACAGTTCATTAATAATCTGTTCTTTGTTTGCCCAGCCTTTTTTCTCCTAATGCTTCAGTTTGGATAATTTCTATTTCTATGTCTTCAAGTCCAATGATCTTTTTTTCTACAATGCACTGTTAAGTCCATCCTATAAATTTTTCATTTCAGATATTATAGTTTTCAGATCTAGGTGGTCTATCTGGTTTTTTTTTTGTTGTTGTTTTTTTTTGTTTTTTTTTTTTTGAGACAGAGTCTCACTTTGTTGCCCAGGCTAGAGTGAGTGCCGTGGCGTCAGCCTGGCTCACAGCAACCTCAATCTCCTGGGCTCAGCGATCCTACTGCCTCAGCCTCCCGAGTAGCTGGGACTACAGGCATGCGCCACCATGCCCGGCTAATTTTTTGTATATATATTTTTAGTTGGTCAATTAATTTCTTTCTATTTTTGGTAGAGACGGGGTCTCGCTCAGGCTGGTTTCGAACTCCTGACCTTGAGCGATCCGCCCGCCTCGGCCTCCCAATATCTGGTTATTTTTAAACTATCTTTCTTTCATTCTGTTAATTTTTATCTAAATTCCTTGAAAATATTTATAAAAATGGTTTTAAATTCCTTGTCTGTTAATTCCATTATCTTTGTTATTTCTGTCTGATTATATTGACTAATTTTCTCCTGGTTATAGGTCATATTTTCCTGCTTATTCATATGTCTGGTAAGTTTTGATTACTGACATTTTGAGCATTATGTTTTTGCATGTTTAGATTTTATAGTCTTCTTTAAGAGAGTGTTAAGTTTTTTTTGACAGGCAGCTAGACTACCTACAGAGTTTTTTGAGGCTTATCCAGAGAATATGTCTAAGTAGGAAGCCTTGGTGATCATAAGGCTTACCTCATTTGTTTCCCTTTTTCAGTATCACATCGTATACTAACTGTTGTCTGATGTCTAAAAGCAGTTGTTTTATATATTTAATTCAGAATTACAGTTGTTTATGGCAGGAAGACATCATCATAGCTGGCAGAAATTTCCTGCTTTGCTTTCTTAGCCTTGATACTATTGATTAGTTGTTGGATGAATCGGGCCAAGGTTATGAATTTAATCTTGATATTAGCCTATTAAGAATCTCATAAATACATGTAATTATTCATAAAAATAGCATGGATATGTAGGAAAATCAGTAGAAATCTATATTTCTTTGTGGAAAAAATAACAATGTGAATTCCCTAGTAGGGATAGGTTACCAACATCATTTCTCTAGCTAATTCTGCCATATTTCTATTAAGAAACTAATATCTACATCTATTATAATTTTCAGGTTGCTTTTTTTATAATAGAACCTCTAACAGTTATATTACACTGTATACTTATATTACACTGTACTTTCAAAGGTAAGAAAAAAATAAAAAAATATTTCTACAATATCTATGATGAATTTATGCTGATTCATCCACACTCTTTCATGGCCTACTATTGGCTAATGACATACATTTCTTTAGTGGAGAACACTGAAAAAGTGGAGCAGAATTAGCACTAGGGATTAAAATATTAATAACATATTTACAGTTTCATACTTGCAAAGTGCTTAGATGCTGATCTTCTAGGAGTTTCTGAGTTTCCTCAAGTTTAAGCTGGAACACATTTTTGTTAGTAGTCAAGTTTGCCCTGATGTTTTCCTTCATTTCTTTATCACAATTGATTTTGGATAAGAGTTGTTTCTGATGGTTGTGATCACTTTTTGACAATGCTGAAGGCAAGGCAGAATCTATAGTTCTGTGAAACAGACATAAAAAAAGTTTAATGCATGTAAATACAGTTAATTTCTTTCTATAAGTATATACAATGAAACATTTGTGTAGTATGTGTGTGTTTGTCCAGATAACCACATATAAGGATATTGGAGAAATATATAGACATTAAGATAAGAATTTAAGGTAATCAATAGTAGAATAAACATGGCTGTGAAATTATAGTACCAATAAAGAACTCTATCTTCATGTAGGAATGCCCAATTATTCGTGGCTTTATTATATTCTATTCCTCTATTATTTAGGATGGAGTAGAAGTAATTCCAGTTGATGTATAGAGTTAGTCCTCTGTTATTTAACAGCATTCCTACATGGATAAAAATATGCTATATTACCCTTCATTCTGAGTTGATGTCATGGCTGGTAGGTATTTCCATAACCCTAATAGAGATGACTGAGGCTTGAAGCAGATAGAAAATATGAAAACTGCTTGTCAGGGTAGGCGTGAATGTCTTCCCTACTTAAGTAGGTTTTGGAGCTTGGTTCTTACTTAATGGTGAAAAATGTACACACTTGTTTTCAGTTGTTTCAGGAATATTAGCATAGTTTTCATGTTACAGAAAGGGTACCTTTAATATAGAGTCTACTTTTAGTGTGTCAACGTGCCACCCCAAAATATCAGTGCATGACATCATCTTCTATTAGAATTTTGTATCTTCTGGAAACCTATTGCATGTTCCATTTCAGCATATATACAAAGTGAAACCAAAAAAACTATGGAAGGTTTTTGGGGAGGATGCAATGGAAATTAAATTATCATATAGCTGACTGCTGCACTGGGGCTGGTAGTGAAAACTCCAAGGGCATTTATTCCCAATTAAATTAAATTATTCCCAGTTAAATAGGAATAAAAATGTTTTTGAAGGTGACACATGGCCACATGTAACATATACCTATCTCCAATACCCATATATATCTTTATTTGAACAGACTGGAATAGTCAAGGTCAATGATTACTAGATTCTTAACTATCTCTTTGAGATCACGGGGAAATCAGGGAGAGCAAAAAGGTATTTAATACAAGATCCTGAACATTGAGAGTATGTGTCTGTCTCTTCCTTTTACACTTTCCTACTCTTACATGATCCTTCCCCTTCAGTCACCCTTCCCGAACAAAATATTGCTAAATCTACAAAATATCTAATAAACTCAATTTATTTACCTTTAAAGTTGTCGTCTCTCAACTTTTTCTTCTCTATTCCTTTCTTCTCTACTCCACTTTCTTCTCTTTTCTTCTCTACTTTCTTCCCCCAGTGAGGAGCATTGAAGGGATGGATAGGAATAAAAGGAGATGGGGAGGTAGAAGTAGAGGGAGAGTGAAGCATGGGGGGAAAGGAAGAAGAAATCATAAAGGAAGAAGAAACTGGAGAAACTGGAGAGGGAAATGCTAAATAAGTTGGAGGAAAACATGGAGAGGGAGATGAATGCGAAGGAGAAGAAAAAAGAGGGATAGATGAAGGAGGTAAAGGTGAAGAAGTAGAAGAGGAAGTTGAATGAGAGGGAAGAATGGAGGATGAGGAAGAAACTGGTATAGAGGGGGAAGAAGAGGATGTGGAACTAGAAGGAGATGAAGACAAAGAAGATGAAGAATGACGGGGAGGTGGATGGGAGAGAACTGAGGTGGATGGATGGCCTACAAAGGCCTGGGGTTGATTTGACAATGTGGTGGTATGTGGAACAGATTGCTGAACTGACTGAAAAGGATCCAAGCTAGCAGGATGTTCAGGCAATGGAGTGACATAAGAAAGAGTGGGGACTGGTTGATGAGGGGGACGACTGGATAAACAGGAAGGCTTCAAAACAGGGAGAGCTTCCAAAGGGGTTGGGGAAACAACCAGTCGGGCTGGAAGGGAACGACGAACAAGGGCAGGCGTTAGAGTGGCTGGGGTAGAACGCTGTGCTGGAAGGAAATGTTTGGGTCTGAATGTTTTGTAAAATAACTTGTTCTGTGACTCAGGATCAGGAATGACTGGAGAACTTCGGGGTGGGTGAGGTAGATAGTCAGGTGGGCCAGAAGGAATTGGGGCTGGTAGACAAGGGAAACTGTTAGAAATTCTGGAAGTAACTGGGGCTGGAGGACGAGGAAGATATTTAATTGGGTAAGACAGTAATGGGGCTGGTAAAAAGGTCTTTGGAAGAGTAGAGGGAACAGATGGGTGGATAGGCAGGGTATGGGGGTGGCGGGTAGGAGAAACAATTGGGTAGCTAGGAAGAATTTGGGAATTGTGGGATAGTAATGGGGCCCGTGAAGGAGACAGCTGATCAGATAAGTAGTGATCAGGTGTGGAGACAGCTGGACAGGCAGGAATGGATCTGCACAAGTGGAAAAGCATTTGGATAGGCAGGTAGAAAGACAGCCTTATTAAGATGGCTTTTTTGGTTTATTGGTCTGCCTCTAGGTTTCTGATTCATATTATTTTTTTGTCCCTAGGGTCCATGATCATCTTCCTTTGATCGACTAGTGTCCTCTCACATGGTCAGAAAAATGTACATGGTTTATTTGAGCTCCCCTTGTCTCATTCTTTGTTCTTAGAGTATTTTCACTTCTCAGAAGACTGTTAGTCATACAGATACACAAGTATGGGCTGAAAATCTGGTTTAAAGCACTAGTACAAAGGGCAAATAGAAGTCAGAGACAACTGCTTAGCTCTGGCCAGACTTCTTATTGTATCAAGTGTTTCAGGATCAACTATCTCACCACAAATACATGGATATTGGAGATAGATATCTAACCATATCATTTTATTAAAGTATAAGTATTTAATATAAGAGAGAGAGAATATACTCTCTTTTACTCTACACCTACCAGAAAGGTCAAGTATATTAGCTTTATGATAAGGATTTGGTTGTGATAGAAGGCTGATTACTTCTTACATTTTTAACTTTAGTCCCTTGTTAATATTTTATATTTCATTATTTGCTGAAGCAGCTTCTATGTTCACAAGAATTTATTCTCTGATTTTTCTTGAGACTTAAGCATTAAATGCCCTGAACTTTTTCACATATATATATTTTAATTTTAGATTATTACATTACCAACACCTTAAATTATTTTTCTCTACCACTAACATTTTCCACATTAGAACAATCTTTCATGAATACTAATATGCTCTGCTTCTTTGGAAGCTCCCTGTTTCTTGGCATTACCTTATTCCTTAACACATTTTAGGTTTATAGCCCACTGAAAATGTATTTTTAATGTGATAATAGTTTATCAATATTTGTAGCTTAATTATACTTTCAATAAATTACATATTCCCATTAACCTAACACCTGATTCTTAATATTTCAATATCTCATATTTGTACAGCATTGTATAGTTTATGAAGTACTTTCATATATATCAGTTAATATTGTTGATTATCTGTAGAAATAAGTCTAATTTTTTAATAAGTAAACCATAGTGTTCTCTCTATACATTGTACTCATTTGTACTCCAAATACACAACATCTATGTGATATATAAACATACACACACATATATATAGATATCATGAAATCACAGTCATAATAGTACATTGCAATAATAACATGAAAACTAACTGGGTATTCTAATACAAATGAAGATCATTACTCATAAAACAAAGATGATGTATGTTATTTAATGATCCTAGCACACAATTGCTGTAATCATAACTACATATTTGCTAGAAGGAAATCAAAATTGTTCTTCCAGTTTAACTCTTCTAAGACTTTAAGTAACTACACGCTGTTGAACAAGAGAAATGTCTATGCTTTTGTTCATGATACAAAAGAGATTATTTAATTGAAAATATCTGATTAACATAAAGATAACAACTGATAGACAGAAAAAGAAACCTGAAAGTAAAGTCCTGTATTTAAAAAATGCACATCACTTCTATACTAAATAGTTTAGACATTTTTTTATTAGTCTAAATTCCCCAAATCCTAGGACCCTCTCTAATTGTCTGTCACCTTCTCTTTTCAGGTAAGCTTTTCCATAGAGTACTCTAAAATTATATTGCCTTCACTGCAACAACTTCCATTCTGTTCCTTAATCCACTGCTATCTGGCTTCTACTTCTCCCACATCAATGTATTGCATCGTTTGTGATGAACTATTAATAATTGACCTAATAATTGCAAAAATAGAAACTTCTTGACCACCATCTTTCCTAACTTTAATTTCCTTGGTTTCCATATCATCATGTTCTCTTGGTTATTTTCTTACTTCTTTAAGTTCCTTCTCAAGCTCTTCCTCAAGCTTCTTTCTTTGCCTGTCCTTTATATGCTGGAATTTTTGAGAGTTTATATGACACTCTTCTTTTCTTACTATGCCTATACTCTCTGTGTAATCTTTCTTACACTGTCTGTGTGATCTTATCTATATCTATATGTCAGTAAAGGGTTAACAAAATCCGTTCTCCTTTATGGACCAATTCAACTTTGGGTTAAGTTTCTAAGTCTGTTTTCTTGGATAATTAGAAGGATTTGAGCTGTATCACAAGGTACATTGATTATGGTAAAAATGACTCATCATTGGTAAACTGAATCTGGTCTAAGAGGACTGTGAATAAACCATAGATACCTGATAAGAAGCTATAGTTTTGGGTTTCCCTGAGTTTGGTAATTCTTATTACTAGACATGTCTCTTGCATGGTCCTGGAAGATATTCATAAGGAGCCATTACAAGAAATACTGGTTCCTCTTTGGAACATGGGGCTTCTAATCCACCTGCCTACCATTGTGATCTTACATTGTGATACTTACAGCTGAGCTGTCACTTGTTGCGGGTAGGGATATAGCAAAGACTAGCCCCCTCAACTGCTTTGTGGTCTGCTATAAGGATTTCCACCTATTGAAGAATGTTCCCTTGTTGGCATGCAGTGTTTTCTGTCCTTCTCTAATTGAAACCAAATATGACCTGTTGTAGTCATGGGAGTTTGATTGTTTGGCTGAATCTAAGACCATCACTGGTGGATATTGAGCCATGGCTTTAACTTCATTCATTCATTGATGACTGTTATATCTACATTCATGGCCCAGATTTCTTACCATGAGAGATTGGCTCTTGAATATTCCATAAATATTTCAAGCTTACAACTTATCATCTTCCTTCCAATTATTTCCTCCCCTAAACATATTTATTCCTCCCTCATAGTCATTAAAAATTTTTTTAATTCTGTTAAGAACACTCAGCTTGAGATCTACCCTCTTAACCTTATAGTCCTTATTTTGATAAATGGTTTCACTATCTATTCACTGACCAAATCTAAGCTCATGAGTCATCCTTGACTCCTCCCAATCACCTTCCAGGTCTTAAATAGTTACCAAAACATGTTGAATCTACCTTCCAGGTCTTAAATAGTTACCAAAACATGTTGAATCTACCTCCCACATAGCTCTCAAGAAGTTATCCTTTTGATTAACTCAAGTGCCACATGTACCTGGTTTTCTCACCTTTAGTTTTACCCTATTCTTTTCCATTCTGGCAATATTTCTAAAACATAAATGTTGTGTGCTTGCTCCAAATCTTTTAGTAATTGTTTTAGAACAAACTTCTTAACAAAGTTCTTTATGATTAAACTTATTGATTTCTTTCCAACTGATCTACCACTTTCTTCTCACTGTATACACTAGCCAAATTGAATTACTTGTAGGTCCCTTAATACAATATGCCTTTCATGCCTCTATGTCTTTTAACACATTAATATTCCTTTTGTTTGAAGTTATTTCTCAGTGTATGTCTTGATGAATATCCTCCTCATCTATTAAACCTCAGGCCATATTTACACCCTCTCAGAAGTATTCACTTCTGTTGGTGATGTTTCTCTATCAAAAGTATTTATTGAATACTTCCAACATGCATAGTGATAAACTAAGTACTACGGGGAATAGCTGCATATGTAGGATTTAGGTATTGTCCTCTAGAATATTACAAACTGATTTGTGGGATAAAAAGTACACATAAAAATTAAGCAATACTATATACAATCATAACTGTCAAATCTATTTTTCTATAGTCTTGACCTCTTAACCTGATCTTTGGTCAAACTGTTTTCACACATTTTTACATGGATGTTTATCCCCTCGATTCAGAAGATGCAAATGGAATTAATCTATTCTTTTCATGAAATATATTTTCTTTCTTTTTTTCTTTCCTGCTTTATTACTACCCTTCTATCATATATTCTTTTAACTCATGGCTAGATATCTCCTGGTTTTCCTGCTGCTATTCTCTCTATACTTCAAGTCATATACTTCTATTTGATCAATATCCTTAAACTCTTATTTCTTTATGTCACTTTTCTGCATTGTGAAAAAGCATTACTTTCATTCTTTCTTCTCTCCCATCCTTTCTTTCTAACCACTCAAAATCTTTTTACTCTTTAATAAGATCCATCCTTTCTTCACTATACAAAAAAGTACTGTGCTAGTTTAGGCACTAATTATCTATCCCTTGGATTACTGCAATAATTTCCTCTCTGGTCTCCACTTGACTCTGAGCTCCAAAAGACTGAATAATCCCTTGTTCTTTGATTTATGACTGAGTTTGGCCAATGGAAGGCACTAGCAGGAGAAGAGAGGGTGACAAAAGAAAGAAGTTTTTCGGGCTTGGTTTAGCAGTACTGTGTTCCTCTATCTAGGACCACAAGTCATGCTCAGGCTCTCTCTTCTACATCTATAGCTCTTTTTCAGTTCAGGTCTGTGCTGATAGTATTGACTTTGTTGTCAGGTCTAGGGGTGCTTTACCATACATTGTTGGTTTCCTAGTCCCTCTTTAACCTCTCAGTCACCCCTTTTAATGTGCCTCCTGTCTCCTGTCAGGATTCTGACTGTTATAACTTTTTATGGCTGATTCCTTAAAAGCCATTCGATCTCTGTAAACTATTTTTTTTTCTCATGAAACTCTATCGCTCCTTAGTTTCCATGGCACCACCCCTCTACTAGTCCTATACCAGCCATTCTAGCTGGTCTATTTGCAGGCTTCTTTTCTTTTTCCACTTCTTTAAATATTGCTGTTCTTCATTGTTTGTCACAGCACATATTCTCCATGGCTGACATTCATTGCCTTGGCTTTAAATACCTTTAGCATAAATCTTTCTTTTGAGCTGTAAACCATATAATTTCTACATTTATTGATATAGCCTTCTCTTTCAATTCATTAGCCACAGTTGTTCACAGTTGATTGGAATAATATGTTTAAAAAGAAAATTTGATCTTATCATCTATCTCCTTAAAATATTCATTGACTTCTCGTAAACTCTCAGAATAAAGTTTATATTCCTTAACATACAGATGCAGTTACCTCTCCAATCTCATATCTAGCCAAGCTATGAGCATTTTGTATCTATGATTCAGCCATACCCTTACTTCTAGAACACATCATGCCTTCTGTCACTCTTGACCTTTGCGAATGCTCACCCTTCTGTCTGGAATGCCATCCACCCACTTGTTCTATGATTAACTCCTATTTTCTTCAAAGCTTTGCTGAAGAGTTGTCTGTTCCATGTGGTCTTTCCTGAACTCTAATAAAAACTGAGAGGATGAATTTATTTGTTTTTAGTCCTGATCAAGGGAACTATTGACCACAGGTATTCTAAAAATAGAATAACATTATGCACAAGTAAAATATTAACACAATTTATTGTCTGAATTGTAGATGTCTTTAAATAAATGTTAAATACTATTATTATTACCTATATGGTACTATTCTGTATTTTTGAAGCATTATTTCACTTCTCTTTTAGGTTATATGCTAAGGATTATAACAGTATACTTCTCCATATTCCCTTTAAATGACTGATCTTCTATACATGTAGTAACATCAATAAAGATTTGGAATAAATAAATGAAAAATACAGGATGTCAGAGGGTACCTAGTGGTTGGTTTGTCCATACTATCCCTTCTAGATGATTCACTTATGCCACCATGTAGAACCAGGAGACACTGTAGCTTTTTCAAGACATCCAGCAAATATTTTTGGTGAAGAAAAACCCCTTTCTACCACTGAGTTATTCTTTTTACCTAAATTTATATTACTATAATTCAATATAATTTTCTCTCCTCAGTAAAGATGAATAATAACCAATATCAATATTTTAAAATAGTTTCGATGATACTTTCCACAAAAGATTATCCAACATATGCAGTATTTATAATACCAAAGACTTTAAAACAACAAATTGAAATTCTGACTTATACTTGGAGCAATATACTTTCCACTCTACCTCAAATAATAAACTCTAAAACAGAGGTGGGGAGTAACTGATGAAAAGTCCTACACTCAGTGATAAGAAAGCTATGTAATCATATACATTAAGAATTATATATGATAATCATAAATTACTTACCTCCAGTTTACTGGTGGTCTATAGGAAAAGGGAAGGTTTGTTTCTGATTTTAAATTAGATTCCTGTATTTGTTTGAGGGCCTCTTCTAATGGAGGAACTGGTTTTTGAAAAACTAAGGGGATAATAAAGAAAGGTCAAATAGTACAGAAGCACTTTATCTTCAATGGTCTCTTTATATATAATTTAATTGGTCATTGATAAAATATTGCTTTAAAACTTTTGTAAAAATAAAATATTTTTTAGAATAGTGTAAATACTGTAAATGTTGACATCCAATTTCCCAAAGAGAAACTGTTTCTCAAAATTTTCATCACTTAAAATTACAATATTTATCTGGAAAAAAGAAACTTTGAGAAATGTCCAGGCTCTTTATTTTGGCATGCAAACCCTTCTATATTTGATCTCATAGTCCCATAAATTTCTGATAAAATTTAGAAATATTCCTATGAAGAAAAGGGAAAGATATAAAAATACCAACTAACATTTATTAAGCACTTACCATTGTAGACCTTATTTTTAAGCACATTTTATGTATTAACTAACTTAATTCTCACTACAGCCCATGAGGCAGTTGCTATTTGAATTTTATAATCAAGGAAACGAAGGCATAAAGAAGGCAAGTAACTTGTTCAGGGTCATACCTTATTATGAACACTCATATACATATTGCTCTGCATAACCTCCTTCCAACCTTACCTCCTGTATATATCCACTTTCCCAAAGCCTTCCACTGAGCACTGACTTTGGTAGTCAACATACTTTATTTCTCCTATTTCGCTCTAAATATTCTTTTCTCCTTCTTGTTGGAATTGAAACATAGCTGTATTTTATGGACATTGCTTTTCTTGCTGTCCTTTCAAATGGAGACATTATTTTCCTCCCAAGATATACTATAAATAACTGAAGGCCTAGGTAGGTGATTTTCTGGCTCTAGCTCTTCATTGACACCTCCAAACTATCTTTCCTCTTTTCTCCTTTAAAACACCTATATGTCATCAGAATTTCCTTTATGTTTGCAATTTACCTTAAAATGTTTAAGCAAAAACAGTAGTATATTATTATGATCTAGATACAATCCATTTTCCTAACCAATTGGTGATGACATAAATGCTAGTGAAGAATGAAGTTATGGAATGGTCTTGCTGATATTATAATCACAGAAGACCAATACTCTTGAAGTAGATACTATCTAGATACTATCAAGCTTTAGATATTAATACCTTTAGGCTGCTATAACGAATACCTTAGACTAGTAATTTATAAACAACAGAAATTTATTTCTCACAGTTCAGGAGGCTGGGAAGTCCAAGATCAAGGTGCCAGTGGTATCTGGGGATGGTACACCTCCTCACAGCTGAATGGAAGGGGCTTGCTAGTTTCCTGTAGTCACTTTTATAACTGTTAATCCTAATCAGGAGAGTTCTGCCCTCTTTACCTAATCACCTCCCAAAGGCCCCACCTCCTAATGCCATCACCATGGGGGTTAGAATTTCAACATATAAATTTTGTGGGGGCCACAGACATTTAAACCATAGCAAATATTGACTGTTTTTCAAATTAGCGTGCTTAATATCCAAAGAGTTTTTCATTGGTGAAAATAATAGCTTGTTGAATAGCCTGATGAATGTTAAAAATGAGCTTTCTTTGTTGAAATTAAAGGTATTCAAGGGGACTTTCCAAAACATATTTTAATCATCTCCCTACCTTTGCATGAGCATAGAATAAGAATCCAGGAAGATTTGTACCTTTTATCCCTATGAATAGCATTTGAGGCTTAATCCCTAGCAGTCTTGTGTCTAGCCATTAATATAGAAAAATTTCTGACTTTCCAATGCCAGAAGGCACAGAATTCTATCCTGGAATATGGTATGTAGGCCTCAGTGGTCCTTATGCAAGGTGTAGTCAGAGCACCTAAAAGGACAGAGATCTGGGACTTTATTGAGCTTACAGGTTGTATGAATTGTTTCATGTCTGCTTTGCTAATGAATATGTATTTGTGCTAGATTATAGTCTGAGACTTGCCTTCATTAACCCTCGCTATTGTCTATCAAAAAGAACTTTAAAGTTATGTATGATAAAACTAATAGGTCAATTCACAACTAGCCATTATATACTGCTTCTTGTTGCTGTTATCAAATGATCTCTCAGTCACTATCTGTCACCCACTGATGATAATTTAAGCCTATATTTTTTTGAGTACTGATGGTGTATTAGGGCTTTATTATTTCATTTAATCTACTACCTCTAATCTTTTTAATTCTTTTACTCTAATATTTTCTTCCCCCAAATTTTCTGACCTCATTGAAATCCCCAATCCACTGCCCATCTTTGTTAGCAAGGGAAAGAGTCAGATATCATGTATACTTGGTGATCCTTTGGTTAATGCTCTTAATTTGGAAATAAACTTAACTGATAGACAACTAAATGAATAGTTGTTTCACAGCTTTTTTCTTGCTCTTTATTAAAATATTAACTTAATATTTTGTATAGTTAATAAAATTATATGGTTCAGAAATAAAAGGACCTCTATTTATATGTCATATCCATACCTATTTATATATGGATATAAAAGATATACATTTGGAAATCTTGCTCTCACTAGTCATTTGTGTATTCCTGCACTATTTCTTTGTGCAAACATAAGGAAATAGAAATGTATATTTGAATTTTTCCCTTTTCTTACACAGAAGGCAGAATATTATATATTTTGTTCTGGATTATTATTATTATTTTTATTATTTTTACACACTTAACATTATATCCTGGAGATCAGGGACAGATCCAGGTTTTATTAGGGTATAAGGCTTATGCAGTTTTATTATGGTGTAAGGCTTACATAAGAACAAATAATGCAAAATTACCAATATAAAATTAAATGTAGGGGCCATGACAGTGAGGGGTCCTGAAATTCAATCCTCATTAGCTTCAATGGTAAATCTGTCTTTGCTGGAGCTCTTTCCATGTCACTTCACAGTGAGTTTCCCCATTATTTTTTAAATGGTTGCATACTGTTCCATTGCGTGGATGTGTACGTCATTCGTTTTTGCTAAAACTCTTGACTTTTTGTACATGATCCTTAGGTAGTCAGTACCCTCTCTGAGGCACACAGTGCTCATGAGGGGTGATTACTTTTCTGAGGCATTTAACACAACTGATCATATTCCCTCTTTTAAAACTACCTTCTCTTTTGCTTTCTTACACATTGTTTTCTTTGTTTGCTTTTGTTTCCCCTCCTGCCTTCTTGATAACCACTCCTCAAAATCCATTTTTTGTTCTTCATGCTCTACCTATAGCAAATGTTAGTGTACTTTAAGGTTCTATGTTGGGCCCAATCCTCAATCCATGGTCTATACCCTGTTATTTATTTAGCTTTATTTATCAACTATATTCATTAATGAATCTTAAATATACATTTCTATTCTGTATCTTTCTCTTGAGTTTCTGACCCATATTTCTAGTTGCTGATTTAATTTCCCCATTTAGATGAGCCATGGGTAGCTCAAAATCAATGCATTTAAAACTTAAATGATCTTTTTTACCTCTAACCTAATTCTCCTCCTTTATTTTTAACCTTGACTAATATTACCATCATCCACCAAAATAATTAATTCATTTAAAAAGTATTGGAGTGTTTAAAATGTATGAGGCTCTCTGCTAAGAACTAGATGCACTATTCTCTTCCTAGCCTTTCTTCCACCACTCTTGATAAATTAGTAACTGAATTCTATTGGTTCTATCTCCTGAATATCTCTATATCCAGTGCACTTCTTTAATTTAGGAGCTTAATATCTCTTTCTACAATTATTTAAATAGTCTTCTACTAGTCTATCTACTTTAGTAGGTCTCTAGTTTAATCTGCATTCCATGTTGTTACTGTAATTATCTTTCTAACAAGTGAATCTAATTATAGCAGAGACGCCCTAGCTTCATACCTAGTCTCCATTTTCCCTTTCTTCCTGGTAACAGACTCTATATTGTTAGGGGTGACAATATACCCAACATTATAAAAATTATATTTTGCAGATTACCTTGAAGGTGGAGTTAATTTAAACAAAAACAGGTGGGGACATCTAGGAAAAAAATTTAAAGGGAGCTCAGAGATATACCTGTTTATCTTTTCCTGTTCTTCCTAATTCCTGTCTAGAACACTGACCTAATCGCTAGAGCTCTAGCAGCTACCATGTGACCATGAGAGTGAAGATATAAACCATGTAGTAAAGATGGCTGAGCTGAGAGAGACAGGAGCTGTCTGGTGCCCATGGATACTGCATAACCATCAAATCAGCTCTTGACTGCCTACCTCAGGACTTCATATTATATGAGAAAAATAAACCCCTATCATGTTTAAGCTACTGTTATTTGGGCAGTTTTACTAGCTCCCCTTGTTAATAGGAAAATCTGTTACTGACACTGTAATGGCTTGCTTTCCACTTAAAAAACTGTAAGTGGACTGAATTTGAATAAAGATGAAATTCCTAGCATGGCACACAAAAATTCTTTGAGAATTGGCTCCAACTTATTTTTTCTAGCCTCATATCCATTTTCTTCTATTTTTTCCCATTCCATGTTTCAGATACACTGAAATGTGTAATTTACTTGCACAAGCTGTTCCTTCTGTCTGCAATGTCCTTTTTATTTTCTCTTTGCTTGGCAAACTGCTCATTCTTCAAGACCCAACTTATGTCATTTTTCCAGGAATGATGTCCTTGATGTCCCTACATAAGTTTAGTGTTCTTTTCTTTGTGCTTTCATAGTACTTTACACATTCTGCTACCATAGCAATTATTATTACATTATTGACATTAATTGTTCATATTACTCTTATTTCCGAAATAGATTGTGAGATCTTTAATGGCAGAATACAATTTTATTTCTCTGTATCTCAGCTTAGCCCAGGGGCTAAGTACAACACGGAACAGCATATGTTTACTGAAAACATAATGACTCTGCTTATGCTTTTTCTTTATAAAGCTTTACATATTGTTCTTAATTCTGTCTTACTATTATGGTATAAAAATATAGATGTGATACCAAAGAACCAACCAAAATCATATTTAAATTCTTGATTGGTTCCAGTTTTTTTTTTGAGACAGAGTCTCACTTTGTTTGTTGCCCAGGCTAGAGTGAGTGCCGTGGCGTCAGCCTAACTCACAGCAACCTCAAACTCTTGGGCTCAAGCAATCCTGTTGCCTCAGCCTCCTGAGTAGCTGGGACTACAGGCATACACCACCATGCCCGGCTAACTTTTTCTATATATACATTAGTTGGCCAATTAATTTCTTTTTATTTATAGTAGAGATGGGATCTCGCTCTTGCTCAGGCTGGTTTCAAACTTCTGACCCTGAGCAATCCACCTGCCTCGGTCTCCCAGAGTGCTAGGATTATAGGCATGAGCCACCACGCCCGGCCGGTTCCAGTTCTTTAGATTGTTGGCATATTACTTTGTAGACTTTCTTTTTGTTATGCCAGTCTGTTAAATATGAATTTGAACCAAACTGTGAATAAAATGCTAGAATGAATGTGACACTAATTTCCTGAACCCAAATGTTAAATTTTCTTTTTATTAAGCTACTAAGTCAATTTAAAAAAGACAAAACATTGTAAGCCAGTTTTAAGTTGAATCAAACTTGTGAATTTTCAGTATTACTAATAGAGCCAACAAAATATTCTCCAAATTAAATCTAAATCAAATTACTATTTTTCATTTGGTTAAAGTCCTATTACTCAATTGGCATACTGGTCTTTTTAGTTTGAGTTTTCACTTAATTTCCTTTTTTTTTGTTTTTTTTTTTTTTGTTCTCAATAATGACACAGGGTAAAGTGCAAATACAGTCCTCCACTATCACAAATTAGGGGAAATTGCAGGAGTCAGCACACCTGGAGTACAATGGATGATCCTCACCCCATGAAAACCACTTTTGTGATCATGGTATCTTGCCTGCCAGGTAAGTATCCACTTCATTTCTTAATTTACCATTTTATTGTCTACTTAAGTCAAATGTGATTAAAACTTTTAATTTTTGTGTTCATATTTTCTAGACATTAAGTCACCTGTTTTCCTCCGCTGTGAAAGAGGAATATGGGCACGCTGGAATTTTTCAGTAACTTCTTCAAACTTCTGTTTTCTTTCTTGAAGTATTTGTTCTCTCATTTGGTATTCTTTTTCCTCTTGTTCTTTTCGTTTCTCTTCAAAAGCTCTATGTTTAAAACATAAAGTAGGCAACAGAAACAGGCAATAAGTTTTAAAAATCTCAACATAGGAAATAGTTTCAAAACAATACATTTATTATATAATATTGTTTTCATGTTTCAAAATTTTACTTAGAAACAACAGATTTTAGATTTTTTAAAAACAGCCCCTTGGTTAAGAATTTAAATATCTTTGTAAATGGTAATTTCAGAACCTTATCCAGGTCTTTTGCAACTAAGAGAAGGCTCTGTAATGAGGCCCTTGTCTGTATAGCCATTCCTACCTCCTAAGCCCTGCAGTGGAAAAGTTATTCTCCAAGAAGCTACACTATTTTCTGTAATGTGAAGAACTAATTCATTGGTGAAAGGAGCAGCCTTGCAAATTATGGGATAGTTAAAAAACACTATAAATTTCTCTTTTTTTTTCTTTTATTAAACCAAAGTTTAAAATTGGCTGTCATGTTAAATCTGAACTATGCAAAAAGTCCAGAACATTTAAATAAAAATGGATTTCCAGCTTTTCTTGAAAATTTGGCAAACCTAGACTCTTTTTTTTTTTTTTTTGAAATGGGATCTCACTCTGTTGCCTGGTCTAGAGTGCAGTGGAGTCATCATAGCTCACTGCAATCTCAAACTCCTGGGCTCAAGCAATCCTCCCACCTCAGCTTCTTGAGTAGCCAGGACTACAGGCATGCACCACCACACCAGCTAATTTTTCTATTTTTTATAGAGATGAGATCTTGCTATGTTGTTTGGATTGCTTTCAAAGTCCTGACCTCAGTGATACTCCCGTCTCAGCCTCTCAAAGTGCTAGGATTACAGGTATGAGCTCCTGAGCCTGGCCAAACCTGAACTCTTAATCACACATGGGTCCAAATAACTGCCCCTAATCCTTGCAATTCCCTATTTTTCTTAATTTTCCTGTTCCATTTGTTTCTGATTACCTCTATGCACTTGAATTTATGTTCTCTAGTTTAAGCTGTAAAATTAATTAACTGAATTAATTTTGTCCTTGGAAGGTGTGTGTGTGTGTGTGTGTGTGTGTGTGTGTATGTGTGTGATTCAATAATTATATACTGGAAAATGAGAAAACCGAAAAGGCAAGCCTGCAAAGCACTGGTAGAGAAGCCTCCAAAGAAACCTCCTTGGAATCCCTGGGGTTAAGGGGTGGTTGGTAAGAACTCTCAAGATTTTTAGTGCTATAGGTTACAATTAATCATCCTAAAGACTTCCCCTGACTGGAGCATTATTTTAGCCTAAATAATTCAGATTTAGGGAACTATACTTCCAGGTGATAGGCATATAGAACTTCAAGTAGTTCAACTCTGTGGTAGGTAGGATGTAGTGATTTAGTGTAGAAGATTTTTTAGCTCTCCAAATAAACTCCCTTCAAGAATTCCCCCAGGTCAAGATAAGAAGCTGCTTTTACCACCCAAATCAATATAGTACTGGAAGTTCTGCCCAGAGCAATTAGGCAAGAAAAAGAAATAAAAGGCATCCAAATTGGAAAGAACAAAGTAAAATTGTCTCTGTTCATAGATGACATGATCTTATACATAGAAATTCCTAAAGATTCCACACTAAACCAGCACTAATATATAAATTCAGCAAAGCTGCAGGATACAGAATAAATGCACAAAAATCAGTTGCATTTCTATACACTAACAATGAACAATCCCAAAAGGAAATTAAGAAAACAATTCCATTTACAATAGTGCTAAAAGGCTTAAACATAAATTTAACCAAGGAAGCAAAAGACTTGTAAACCAAAAACTATAAAACATTGATGGAAGAATTTTAAAAAGAAACAAATAGGTGGAAAGACATCCCATGTTCATGGATTGGAAGATTTAATATTTGTTAAAATGTAAATACTATGGATTCTACCAAATTCCAATGACTTTTTTTCGAAATAGAAAAATCTGTCCTAAAATTCATATGAAATCTCAATGGATCCTGAATAGCCAAAATAATATTGAAAAAGAACATAGTTAGAGGTTTCACCCTTCCTGATTTAAAAACTTACTACAAATTTATGGTGAAGTAGTGCGGTATTGGCATAAAGACATACATATAGACCAATGGAATAGATTAGAGAGCCCAAAAATAAAACCTTCCATATATGGTCAAATTATTTTCTACCAGATGCCAAAAACTTCCAATGAGGAAAGAACAATCTTTTTAGCAAATGATGTTAGGAAAACTGGATACTGCAAAAGAATAAAGTTGGACTTTTGCCTTACAACATATATATAACTCAAAATGGATTGAAGATCTAAATATAAGAGCTAAAACTATAAAATTGTCAGAAGAAAACATAGGGGGAAAACTTCAGGACATTGAGTTTGGTAATAATTTCTTGGATTTGACACCAAAAGCACAGACAACAAAAGAAACAATAGGTTAAATTTCATAAAAAATTAAAAATGTGTGTGGGTCAAAGGATACTCTCAACAGGGTGAAAAGACAAATTGGGGAATAAGGTAAAATATTTTCAAATCATATATCTGATAAGGATTGATAACAAGAATATATATAAAAAATACAACTCAACAACAAGAAAACAATCTGATTTAAAAATGATCAAAGAACATTTGAATAGACATTTCTCCAAAGAAGATATACAAATGCTAACAGGTACATGAAAAGATACTCAACATCACTAATCATTAGGAAAATGCAAACTAAAACTGTAATGAAATGCCACTCCATACCCATTAGGATGACCATTACAAGAAAACAAAACAAAAAATAAGAACCGTTGGCAAGGATTTGGAGAACTGGAACCCTTATGCATTACTGATAGGAATGTAAAATGGTACAGTTCTGTCGAAAATGGTATGGTGATTGCTCATAAAATTAAATATAGAATTACCATATGATAAATCAATTCTACTTCTGGGACTATATCCAAAAGAAGTAAAAGCAGGGGCTCAGACAGGTATTTGTATATCTATTTTCATAGCAGCATTATTCATAATAGCCAAACTGTGGAAGCAACCCAACTGTCCATCAACAGATGAATGGACAAACAAAATGTGACATATACATTCAATGGAATATTTTTCAATCTTAAAAAGGGAGGAAATTCTGACATATAAATGAGCCTTAAAGACATTCTGCTAAGTAAAATAAGCCAGTCACTAAAGGACAAATGTATAATTCTACTTATATGAGGTACCTAGAATAGTCAAATTCATAGACAGAAAGTAGAATGGGAAGTAGAAAAAAGGGAGTTATTATTTTTTTTTTTTTGAGGGAAAAATCTAGAGAAGGGAGTTATTTAATGGGTACAGAATTTCAGTTGGGGAAGATGAAAATGTTCTGGAGATGGATAATGGTGATTGCCATACAACAGATGAATGTACTTTAAAATAGTCTTTGAAGAAATATAAAGAAAAAAGAAACAATTAAATGGAGTCGTTAATAGAATATTCTACTTTCTACTTCTGTAGGGAGGAGGAGGCTGTGGCTTGCTTAGCAGAAGCTGAGTCAACTCAGAAAATTCTAAATTTATATGCTATCACTTGAGATTAAAATCATTTGTCAAGTGGACTAAAACATGAAGGTACTCCTGAAGTAGCCAGTCTCCAATGAACCATGATTATGCAGGCCTCTTCCTTTTAATCAGTCTGGCCCTGTGACTCCCTTATTACCAATAGAATGTTATGGAACTGATGCTGTGTGACTTCCCAGGCTAGAAGTTTTGCAGATTCCAACTTGGTCTTCTGGAATGCTCATTTTAGGAGCAAGTATGGAGACAGATGCCTGGCCAGCCTCCAGCACTTCTAGCCATCTCAGCCCAAGTACAAGACATGTGATTGAAGAAGCTATTTAGGATGTCCAGCTCAGTAGAATCTTTAGATAATTCCAACCACAGCCAAAATCTAAGTGCAACAGCATGAGACTTCTAAGGTGACAATCAACCAGCTGAATAACACATAGAATTATAATAAATTGGTTTAAGCTCCTAAATTTTAGGGTGGTTTGTTACAAAGCAACAAATGACCAGAATAAAACTTTAAACAAATATTTCTTTAACTAGTTAACATTTATTTAGTAGGGATGAGGAGAAATTTTATTAATAAGAATTGTTTACTTCTTTATGTTTTTAAAATGATTTATTACCTCTGTTTATTATATATGCTTTTCTGACCAAGAAACCTTTTTATGACCATATTAGAAATTAGTGTTTTGATATCAAAATATTCTTAATAAACAGCACTATGCCATGCATTATTCAGTTTCAGAGTATTAGTGGACTATAATTGCCAACTTAGGCAACTGTCATCTTTATGTCTCATCACCAATAGTGCAGCATGTAATTGCACAAAACAACTCACAGCTACTAGATTTTTTTAAACAGAGATATCTGTTTCAGAGATTTTTTTGTACTATTGTATTTTTCTTGTGAAGCACTGCCTACTTCATTGGTAATGAGAACAACTTACATGTATCTAGTTAGCTAAGGAAGGAACTTTAGTCAGCTGGTGTGTATTACTCATTTATGTTAGTGATGTTTTAAGTGATCATTATAGATTTGTTTCTTGGGCAAATGCTCTGATGATCTATCCTTTAGTATTGTTGACATGGAACTAACTCTAGACAAAACATTTTCAACTATGTAAAAATTGCAGCATATCAAATGTGTTAAATGCAGTGTTTAGAGGGAAATTTATAATTTTAAATTCTTATATCAGAAAGGGGGAAAAGTTTAAAATCAATTCTGTCAGTTTCCAGCTTAAGAAGGTAGAAGATGAGCAAATTTATCCTAAAGTAAGAAAAAAGAAATGAATAAAAATAAAGGAATAAACCAGAATAAATCAATGAAGTAGTAAACAACAACAACAAAAATTAGAAAGAATGCAGACACGACTTGCCTTGAAAATGTTAATAAACTTGATAAACTCCTAGCAAGAACAGTGATGAAATAAAAGACCAAACAAAAATAATATGATGAATGCAAGAGAGGATACCACTACAAATACCACAGACCTTAAAAGAATGA